GATTGGAAATAATCAGATATTACCGTTTTCTCTCGAGTCAATATTGATTTTTAAGACGGAATAGTGATATCTCTTCATTTTGATTGGAGCAATAAATGATTGCTTTAAAGCATGAGATGTCATTTATTCTCTATTGGAAATCATTAATATTATCGTTTTCACTCGAATCAATATTGAATTTTAAGACGAAATAGTGATATATCTTCATTTCAATTGGGGTAATAAATGACTGTTTTAAGGCATGAAAGATCATTTATTCTCTATTGGAAATAATTAGATATTATCGTTTTCTCTCTTAAAATTATTTTGGGTGTTGTTATTTTGAACTAATAATGAACTTTGGAATAGAATTTTAATATTTCTTTATTTCGATTGGAGTAAGAATCGATTGCTTTAAGGTATAGTTGATTCTTCTCGATAGGAAATAATTAAATATTATTTTGATTCGTCCTAAAATTCAAAGAGTATTACTTGTAGGGGATCTTAAATTAAATTAGACTCAAATTCTTAAATTTCATTGCAAAGACAACTAATTAATCGACTAGGTACCGATTTAGGGCATTGTGGGGGTGCTAATCCTCCCCACACGTAACTGATTCCTGAACTCAAATTTTGGTAACGCATACCGTAAATTTGTTGTTTTAATTAAAATGAATGTTTTTTTAAATGACAAATACTTTTTGGGTGCCCAATCACACTCTAATAAAAGATTAATGGTGACTATTCGAACCACGTTTTGTCTTTAACGACTAAAAATTATTCAAAACGAGACCCCTTTTTCCTTTTCGAAAATCGTTTCGACACCTCCCATAATTTTTAAAAATTCTTATTAAGCCTCTCAAATTTCAAAAATTATAGTTAGACACTAATTTTTTAGAAAAATATAAACTAAACCCTTAAAAACTTTAATTTAAACCTTTAGATTTTTAAAAATTTTAAGTTGGTCTCCCAAACTCTATCATGAAGTTTTGCCACTGCAATTAACTGCACATGGGTTTAATTTATTTAAACTTGTTATTTATTCGTCAACAACGTGGATGTCAGCTAAGTTACTAGGAAAGACATGCTTACGATTGGAATTTGTTAGGTCCGTTAATTCCGCAGCAAATGTTGGGATTGTGACCTATTCTGGTTTGTAATTCTAAAATCAAATGCTTAATCCTCCATTTTGTATTTGTGCAGACGTGTTCTTTAGTGTGCCTTCTAAATCAATCCACGCCTATTTCGCCCCAACTTTCTGATCAATTGGTTTTGTAAGTCCACTATGTTAATCCCTTCGATTGCTAGAGCTAATAGAGATTTTACAACAATTGGACCCAGAAAAAAGATTTTTTTTTGTTTAAATATAGACATGTGTTGGTATTATTGTGTATCGATTTATTTAGGGTAAAAACACAAATAGTCTCCCAATTATAGGACGTAGTTTTGTTGAGTCTCTCGACTATTAAAAGTTACAAAATAGTCACTCAAATATTCATATGTTTCAAACTTGTCTTTTTTCGATAAAAAAATTGACGATCTTTTGAGTTGTACGTTAACCTGCTAACTGAGATATGATAGTCGTTTGAGAATTTGGGAACATATTTTAGTGTATCTCATTCAGCAAGTAAACGTCTAGCTCACACTAACAACAATTTTTTAACGAAAAAGGACGAGTTTGGAACATATGAATAGTTGTGTGACCATTTTATAACTTTTAATAGTCTATGGACTTAACAAAGAAAGCCATATGGTCGGAAGATCATTTTGTAATTTTTAATAGTCGGAGAAGTCAACAAAGTAATATCATATAGTCGAGGATCATTTGTGTACTTTACCCATAAATTTTCTTATAACCAAATTTGAAGTAGTTGAATATAATACTATTATTTGAGGGTTTTACGTTGATGAAACGATATTCCGGACATTAAATTGGTGTGTGCCCACAATTTACTTGAATAGCACGTTTTGTGCTTTTACAAAGTTGCTATATTGGATTGTAGAGGCGTCAAAGCAAGTCCCCCTGTCCCTCACCAATCCAAATTATCAAAGCAAAAAGAAACTATTTAACTTCATTGTTTTGATCATTAAAACTTTAAAATTTATAAATTAGTCATTAAATTTTATCAAAAATAATTATCAAACTCTTACAATTTATTATAACATCGCAACGACCACTTATAACAATTTGATAAAATCTAATAGATATTTCATAAATTTTAATAATTAAAATGACCATTTAAACATAATCTAATATGATCTCTAATGTATTTTTTTTTAATATATGGATACCCAAAAAGATAAAGAAACTCTGTCTCATACTTTTTCTCACCTTTTCTTTCTTCCACATGTATGATGCTGAATCCTCTTACAAAGTTATTTTGAATTCATGACATATATTAAAAATATTTATAAAAACTTTCATTTTAATTAATTAATTACCCTTACTGCAATGGCTTTAACTCTTTTATAGTTTCATTTTATGCATAAATTTTTGCAGTGTGGCAATCCAACCAATATATGTATGACAAGTGTCATATTATTGTACCGACATAGCATAGCTTTGAATTTTCCCATTTGAAGACATAACTTGCAAGCTTTGTTTCTGGGTATGTAGGCCATCAAAATAGGACCCTCACCTGATTTTATGCTTTGACTGAATCATCATTGCCAAATGATTCTTTTTAATAGTTGTCTAATGTCAAATTTTAATTTTAAAAAAAAATTGATGATGATTTTTGGGGTAAAGTAGATAGGTATCCGATTATAGGTTGTTGTTTTGTTGAGCCATTTAATTACTAAAAGTTACAAAATGGTTTCATGATAATAGGATGTTGCTTTGTTGAGTCATTGGACTACTAAAAGTTACAAAATGATAACTAAATTATTCATATGTCCCAAACTCATCATTTTCTGTTAAAAAAATGACGGCCATGTGGGTTAGATGTTAACATGTTGACAAAGATATAATAAAATCTGATCATAGAATTATTTGAGTTGTATTTTGTGGATCGAAACTTTATGTCGTCAGTTAAATCCTTAAAATATTATGTCACCGAGCCTGTACTTGAAAACAACAACAATGCAAGTATATATCATCAAAATATGATTTTATCATATTTCAATCCTTAAGGACTGTATTGCTCTTATTGATAATATCAGGAACGTCTTCATCAATGGTCACGAAGAAACTTGAGCTACGCTGGTAGATTAGAGCTTATAAAAACTATCCTAAACAGAATTGAGCAGCTATGTTCACGTTTCTTTTGGAAAGGTTCAGACAAGACAGCTTAAGCATTCAAATTTTTGGTGTAGGCAGTTAATCCTACCCCAATCTATCCTAAACAGAATTGAGCAGCTATGTTCATGTTTCTTTTGGAAAGGTTCGGACAAGGCAGCTTTGGGTGCTAGAGTGAGCTGGAGGAAACTATGTCTTCTTAAATCAGAAAGGGGTTTAGACTTAAAGACATAAAATCATGGAACAAGGCTTGTATGATGCATTTAATTCGGAAGGCGCTAGCGGGTGAAGGTTCCTTATGGATAGCCTGGATTAATAGTTATATTATTAAAAATTCTGATTTCTGGGACATGGAAATTGGTCTTAATATGAGCTGGACATGGAGCTTCCGAATCTTGCTTAAAATGAGACATCAAGCTTCGACTATTCTATCCATGGGAGCTGCTACTATAAAGTGGCACAAGTTAATATGGTTCCACTCCATATCCCAAAATTTAGCATTATTATTTGGACGGCTTTGTTAAATAGACTTCCAACTAAAGATAGATTGCTTGGAATCTAGGGATCACTTATTTCTTCATTGTCCTTTGTCTAGCTCACAGTGGGATGCGATTTTGCACCTAAATGGCATTCGAAGAAGACCATGCTCTTGGGAAGAACACATATCTTGGGCATGTGCTACATGGAAAGGTAAATCCCTACTAGTTACTATCATGAAGCTTGTTTGGACATCTTTTACTTATACTATATGGGAAGAGAGGAACAAAAGGTTATTTACTGGTTGCTCAAGATCTTTTGAAGCTATGTTCAACGCCATTAACGATACTATTTCAATCAAATTACGGGATAGAAACATTAATAGGATTGATAGTGTCAATATCACACTTTGTAATCAATGGGGTATTGCTTATTGAAGTTGTGTTGTTGTAATTTTGATTGTAAGTTATAGATACTCTTGTAAGTACTTATTGTTCTTTTAATCGTAGATCATTTTGTAATTTTTAATAATCGAAAAACTCAACAAATCAACACTCTATAATCATGAATATTTGTATAATTTACGCAAATATTTTTCACGAACAAAAAATTAGGTATGTTATTGTATAATGAGCCTTAATTAGCATGAATTTTTGCAAATCCAATGAATAGTCAAGAGGAAGGTTCATGAGCATTGCATGGTGCCTACTTTATCGTACAATTACCCCTACCCTTTGAGTTGCTTTTATTGATTCCTTGAAACAGTGTCTCTGTGGAGAAATCAGAACACAAACTTTCACAGAGCATCAGACACAAATATCCAAATATAATATCATATCTGTCTGTCTTTTAAATTCCCAATAAAATATTATTAAAACTACTAAAAGAGACTGTAAATCCATCCAAAGTAAAAAGAATTTAATATCTGCATTACATGGAAATGAAGTGAATTTCCCAAGAATTTCCTTTATAAATTGAAAAAAGGGAAGAAAACAGAAGCTTGCCTTCAAAGCACAAAACCCTTTATCCACTTTCCCTCAATTTAAAATCTTTAAGCATAAAAACAAAGCATCTGCTCTTACAATAAAAACCCTCCAAATTTACTTGCTTTCCCTTGTAAGTTTCAACTTCTCCTTTGCTTAGAGTGTAGCTATCTTACCTTTATCATTCCATCAATATGTATTATATTTATCTTTCTGTGCAAGAACATTTCTAAAGTTTGGAATCTCACTCCAAAGCGTTGTCTGCATGTCATGCATTAGTTTATGAGGTCAAATTCAAAACTTGGGTAAGCTTCTGCTTTGTGTTTGGATTTGGTCTGCTTCTTCTCTGGTTTTGTTTTTCATTTCTTCGTCTTCTTCTTAAACTTGTCTCACACGTGGCTTGTCATGTCATTTCTGCTGTTCATGGGTAAAAGATCATTCTTTGAAGCTCTTATCTCATAAAAGAATTTGAACACAATAAACCATCTTTCAAAGTATTTATTTAGTACCCCAAACAACAAAACAGAGAATCAATCGGCCGCTGAGTTACCATGAGATGTTTAACAGGAGCAGGAGATTCTTGGCAACCAGCAATGACTGCCAATACAACCACCCCAGGCTACTGGTTCAGCTGGAGGGTCTTGCTTTGTGTCCTTTGGGTCTTATTCACTGCGATTTTTTCCTTGGTTCTGATATGGAAATATGAAGGTCTCCGTAAACCGAATCACGATGGCGAAGAAACTCAGAAAGATACGGCGGGATCTCTTCATGAAGATGAGACTTGGAGGCCATGTTTAAAAGGGATTCACCCTGCTTGGTTGATGGCTTTCAGGCTTGTTGCTTTCTTCGTGCTTTTGGTATTGCTAATAGTCACCGCTTTTGTTGATGGAGGCAGCATTTTCTACTATTATACTCAGTAAGCTCTCCTTTTTCTTGGGCCAAACACAATCAAATTTGACGTCTACGTTTGTCGAATGAGGCATAAGATGATTCCCCAACCGAAATAGTGATTTAGAGCATCATTAAATTAGAGGATTTGAGAGGAACATGAATTTCTGCAATAGTGCTTTATACGAACTATGGACTCAACCTGTTTCTGCATTTCTTTTGTTCTCTGCAGGTGGACTTTCACACTAATTACAGTTTATTTCGGGGTATGCTTTTAATTCTTCTATAATTTTTTATCTGTATAATCATGTTTCTTCATAGTAGTAATCGTTAGGGTAGTTGTGCTGGGCAATATTTTCAGTTGTAATTGAAGAGCATCATTGAAAACAGAGATGGGAGAGTTTGTTTGTAGTGCAGGTAAGATGGACTAACTATAAGCATGCGTCGGCTTGAGTAGCATCTCACTTTTTCACTTTAACTGCTATAGATTGTGGAAAATGATTGTTCAAATATTACTTTTCCAATAAGATAATTTCCATAAAGTTCTCACTTGTCGAACAAGTAAACTTCACAATGCTCGATTTTTTCGAACAAATTTAATTGGAAATTTCCATAAAGCTGTGTTGGAACAGCCCAGTCAGTGCTTGCACCCCAATAGGCACACTTACACACCCACTGGTGAAGAACAAAATCAGTTATATGTTACTGTTATGCCTTTTGATTTGTTATCAGCTCGGATCACTTCTCTCCATGCGTGGATGTTACCGATACCACAAAAGGGTAAGTGGTGACAAGGTTGATAATGTAGAGTTAGATGCAGAGCAAGGGAGCAATGCCGGTGCTGCATCTGGAGAAACGTCTAACAATGCAGAGAAAATCGTTAACTCGGAGGGGCATTTTGTTCGCCAACGTGCAGGCACTTGGGGTTATGTCTTTCAAATAATTTTCCAGGTGCATACATGACTTTCTCTTCAAGTGAACTTTTAAGTATTTAGACCAGAACACTATTTTACATTCCGGCATAAACTAGCCGGTATGCTTCCTACAGATAGTGACAGTTTTTCTCTTGTGAATCAGATGAATGCAGGTGCCGTTTTGCTGACGGATTGTGTTTTTTGGTTCATAATTGTCCCCTTCCTTGCCATTAAGGATTGCAACCTTAGTATTGTAAGTATCACCATTCACTCATATCTCGTCATAGGCGACTAAACATTTAAAAACAAACCATTATGCATCATAAGATGAAAAGGGGAAAAGAGAAGCCCCAGTGTGTGGTCAGTTACTTCGGTTCTTATATTTGAATCTTTTGGCGGCAGCTTGCTGTTAACATGCATACTATCAATGCTGTTTTCCTGCTTGGTGATACTGTTTTGAACTGCTTGGTAAGTTTCCCCAATTATATTCAAATTTAGAACGCTCGTAGTTTCTACATCTGTCCATAAATTTCATGTTAAATTTTGCTTCTCTGTTTCGTTCAGAACTTCCCCTGTTTTCGGATCGCATACTTCTTCCTATGGACATTGACATATGTTATATTCCAGTGGATCGTTCATGCTTGTGTGAATATCTGGTAAATCCATTAACCCCCATCTTACTCTAGTGGTATATGACGTTCCCGTGTAATTTGACCACTGTATGCTGCTTTCAATTGCTATAAACAGGTGGCCATACCCATTTCTTGATTTGTCATCATCATATGCTCCCTTATGGTATGTCCTAAACCATATTTGGTCTTTTATAATTGTCAACAGTTTGTCGGGTTAGGCATTATATGTTTGTATCAGTCTTGTCATTTCTACATATTCGTCTAATATCATCTCCGAATCGGGATTTGAAGGTACTTTTCGGTAGCATTGCTGCATTTCCTATGCTATGGTGCCTTTGCTTTGGTGATAAAGCTGAAGCACCATGTGTTTTCAAGATGGTTCCCTGAGTCCTACCAGTGTCAGAGGTAACTTGGCTGAGAATTTGAGTCGAAGAAGGTTTTGAAGAAACATGTAATTTCCCCCCACACAGAAGAGACATTCAATAGAGAGCTTGAGATGTCAGATATAACATATTGAAACACTGGATTGTTGCGTAAAAAAACAAAACAAAATGACAAGAGTTGATACATAAGTAGGTAGAGTTTTGGAGGATACATAATTGCTTAGCAAAAGCAAGAAGATCCTCTTGTTTATTCAACAAGTAGCTTTACGCTGTAACTACAGACAATTCAGGAATAACCCCATACAAGGCTATTGTTCCTCTCATCAATTTTACCCTGCTCCCTATATGCACATTCAATACAATGTATTTTATTTTTTGCTCCCTTCTTTGTCCAATTATAATAAAATTGCGCTCAATTTCGATCTGAATGCTGGCAACACATCATAGTTGCTAAATAATATTTACAACTTTTAAAATATCACCTGAAAGTTTCAGCAAACTTAGACCACCACCAGTTTCGTAAATCTATGATGCCCGTTCAGACAGCTTTCTTTATGTTTCATTGAAGAGGCTTGGCTGATCAGCCGTCAGCACCTGCTGCAACAACATAGGCTTCCATTTAATACAACAGGAAGGAGATGAAGTAAACTGTACTTAAGGGCGCAAATTGGAAGATATTTATTGATAACAAAAGCACAAAATGTCAAAGAAAAGTTGTTAGGAATCTCACCATAGACTTGGTAAAATTGGTATCAACGAGTTTTGATTGTTTAGATTATATGAACCAAGGTCAAACAAATGAATTCCCAGTCATGAAATCAAACTCTGTACATAGCATACAACACATGTGATCACAAATAACTGCCTGGCAGAGAACCCATTAAAATGGTATTTTCGTTGTCTTTGTGCTCCATCCCTTCTTGCTTTGTCTTTGAAAATAGTCTAGAGAGGAAACCCACAGGCAACAATTCACCGCTTGACCTCTTCCCTAACGAGCCCAATGTTCCATTGGCCCCAAAACTCAAACCACCAATAGAACTACTTGAACCCCTCATAGCCTCATCTGCTCTAAGTAGTGCCCCACAAGGACAGTTTGCAATCATTTTAAAGCAGGTCTTATGGAAAACTGATCCACAGGACATGCACTTTTCAATCTCACCTTCCTGTTAAATATTCAGTGCTGTCAGATTGTAGCAACGAAAATGGACCCACAATAATCAATAATGCACAATTTTCTGCTTTCTCCTGCCATATAGATATGTATGCATGTGTATATATATCTATATATATATATAGAGAGAGAGAGAGAGAGTCATACGATAAATTTTCACTTTGCAAGATATAACTAGAGCAACAGTTACAAATAGAATCAGTCATTACAAGCACTGAATTGTCAAACTAATGCAACTACTAAGTCAGCTCAAACTAGAAATAACCATAAAACCCACACACAATCATGCAAGGTGGGACTTGAACCAAGGTGCTTAAGGACCCAGAGACTCATCCTGCACCAACTACGCCAGGGATTATTGGCAACCACAAAAAAGTACAAAAGAGCATAATGTAGTTGGGATGAAAGACACTAGGTAAAAATCATAAGAAAATTTTTAAGGTAAAATTCATCTTAGAGCAATGGATTAGCTAGATAGTAAAAAACAGCAATAACCAATGACAGGTATGCCGACCTAAAAGGAAATATGAGAGAATAGTAAACAGCATAAACCAATGGCATGTATACTGACCTGAAAAGGAAATATGAGAGAAGGCAGGTCATTACAAACTGGCGAGCGTTGCAGGGGACTCCCACATCACAACATATGAGGCACTGCTCTACAATATGCTCCTCAATTTTCCTTGATACAGTTTCCACCATAACAGGAAGAGCTGAAATGATAATTGACACATTTACTTCTAAGTCAAATCAACATAGGAGAAGAAAGCCAAAAGAATGAAAGACAGTACGAGGGAAAAAATAAATTTAAATCCCAAATTGCTATGTAAAATAAAACAGACTAGAATTAGATTGAAAAGGAAAAAAAGAAAGACCAAATCCAGAGTGGAAGTCCAGTCTTATTTCTCAGGTGATACAGAACATATTATCTGATGGCTTCACACTCACTCTCAGATAGAGGGGTGGATACATATTACTTTTAAAACCTTAATAATAAAAAACATCAAATTTGAGACGTCAATAGTCTGTGCATGTTTGATGGATTTGCAGGTCAGTCTCCCAAAATGTGGTATTCTGCCTGCTTTTACTGAAAAGGAATGATTAAAAAATAATAACCTTTGAATAGAAAATCTCCAGCACAAAAGGAAACGGATAGAATAAAATTTTAGACAACCTTTTCATGATTAGATTGTTATAAAGTTCATCCTAACAAGGTTTTAAGATTTATACATCATCTATTTCCACAAAGCAACAACTGGCTAACCCAACCACCATCACAATCATATGTGAGAGAGAAAGCACACTAATCTTGAAAGAAAATTAATGAAGTGCTCATAAACAACTTTGGCAGCAGATTCCTTTTCTTCCTTCTTTACCCAAGATTTATAATGCAAAATAATAAGATATGCAACAAAGCCCTTAGAAAAGGAGTTAACCATTAATACTTTAAAGCTGAAAATGTGATAAAACATCTGCTATTAAGTTCAAATGCTTGTGATTGGAAGTTAACCTGCAAAAGCTCCTTTGGATAGATCAATGAGATCTCTAAGTGCAAAAAAATCATTGCATTCAAGAAGATATCTTCGAGATCCAAGTCCTTTGTTTATCGACATACGAAATGGACAGTGAACATAGGGAAGCATCTTTCCTATTTTTTTCCTGATGCCCATAACATGGTTCAGAGCCGGAACCTTTGAAAATAGGAAGGGATTAACTGCACTGACACAAAGCATGGGCTGCAAAAGAGGGGGGGGGGGGGAATTGTAGTTAAAACTCTTGGCTTGACCTTAACTGTTATCAAGTAAACATTTGGGAGACCCAATTTTCCCATAAAAAAATTTCTTTAAGTGCATACATTAATCGTAACATATATATATATATAATGATAATCTAAGCTGTTCATTTGATTATCCTTTTTTTTTAAATCTTGTGAAAAGTATGAAGAGGAAGTAAGGCAAATGTTTCCATAAATAAGAGTAAAGATATCTACCTGAATACACTCATTTCCATCCCAAATGGGCATAAGTAAATCAATGCCAAGTCCTGGTTGCATTTAACATACTATTCACCTAAACCTATGTTTTAACATGCACTGCAGTGCTTACCTGGTCACGTATAGAATCCAGATATGATTTAGCCAATTGAGAAACTGGATATCGAGTAAAATCCCAATGATGCAACGCTCTTGCTGGTAAGACTGCCATCTCATTTGTATGACAGGAAGAACAAAACAACTGCCCAGTGTATTCACAAAGTCTAGGCTTTCCCCATCCAATTGATTGGACCAAATCTCGCAGCAGAGTCATTTCTTCATCAAAATGTTTGTGGCATCCAGCACAAGTGTAATGTTGGGTTTCTAACATCTGTTTCGTTGATTTGGGAGCTCGAATTTCAACAATAAGCGATATAGTCTTCCCTAAAGGAGAACTATTTTTAGTGTCTCGCCCTCTTGAAAATAAAGCAGTTTGCGACAAATTGGTATTGGATGGAGGGATGCCAGGAAATGCATCTTGAGGAGACAAAAACCAGATCAATGAACTTGGAGGGTTAGAAGAAAATCTGGAATAGATAATGGAACGTAGACATTCTTGAATAAGAACACTTCTTTCAGAAACAACATCTGGAGACGCATTCCCAAATAACTTTCTAGATTCTGTTTCTACAGATGACCAGGGAGGAGGAAGAATCCAACCTTGTTCAGAGAATGTCGATTTTAAGCGACGATGAAGAGTACAGAAATCACGGTATCTGCGTTCAATCTCCCACTGGTCATTGCCAGTCCACACTCTTATCTTATACACAGTGTATTCCTTTACCCCAACTAATCTTTCACTAAAGGAGACATTCCCTTTCTTCTGCTTTGCACCCACCACTTCAACATGATCTATTCTCAGTAGACGTGCAGAGTGCAGGTGAGCATCGTCTGCACCCGAAGTAGAGGGATTTGAACCTCCATCTCTTGGAGGAAGTGGTAACTGTGGTTGGTAAATACTATTACCCTGAGAAAACATGGCTCCAGGAGAGTCAACAGAATCAAGCAAAATTTCTTCCATGTCATGGACAACCTCATCATAAAATTCATTTAGCTCAAGATTCTTCATCTGCAAGGGGAAGTGGATGACCAGAGAAGAATATCATCAGCTTAAAATGTAGGTTGTGAGTGAGAAATCAGAAAGTTGGTAACCACCTAACTCCAAGACAACAGTTGACTATCACAAAACTCAAAAGGATGCATAATTGCATATTTATTTTGAAAACTAGCCATCACTTACAGGACACATTTAATGCTTAGGCTTTGGTTGGAAGAAAAGATGGAAATGCTATTAATCTAATGGCTGAGCCACAAAGTAGGAAAGTGATTGTGAAATCTAATCATTGAGTTCTAAAATATTCATCATTCAAAGCAACTTATTTACAGCTAAACCAAACAAATGAAAACTATGTACTCTGTAGGAGGTCAGTGCACTTAACAAAAGTCAATATAACACAAAATATTAGACAATGAAAAACTATAGTATAGATGTTGCTGCAGCTCATCGTAGAGCATTTCAACAGTTAGTCACAAAGTTATTCCCCCAACCAAATTGAGGCATCAGCATGTTTCTTGACCAAAGCATCCAACTAACCAGTAGATCAATAAGATATATAAAAGCAAAAAGCTTCCCCAGCCTGACCAAAATGACTTTGGCTAAGTTCATATTTGTTCAGTTTACAAGCAAAGTATAAACGCATGTACCTAACAGTTGAAATCCATAAGCATATTATAAATCCTAAATGCTCCAAAATAATGAGGATACTAGAAACTAAAGAAGAAACTTTACAAGTGACTGACCTTAACCATTCCAGAATGTTCTTCAAATTCATCTACTGGCACAGGACGATTCTTGAGTGTAGTGCTCGCTACACTTTCACTAGTAGATATGGGAGCATCTGGTTTGCAATCGTCATACAGCTCTGCATTTGCTTTTTGAGGAGAGTCAACTGGATGGACACAATCATTGAGGGCATCCAGTTCTGCTTTACACTTGTCGATTTCCTGTCTTTCAGATAATTTACTCTCATCAACAGCTATAAATTCCTTAGCATCCGAAGATTGATGCTGCCTTACCCTATCAGAATCGACAACATTCAATCCTATATCCACGGGGGCTTTTTCTACCTGCGGATCCGGGTCCATTGCGAAGACATCAGTAACAGAGCAAGTTTGTAGATAGCCCACATCATCATCAGCATCTTGGAGCTGAATTCTAGTAATAGGAATATCTTTCGACATTGGAGAACTGACAGCATCTAAAAAATAACATTTTGCCTCTTCTACTGTAACTTCAGCAACAGAAATGTCTTTTACTTCTACAAATTCGGTTTCACCTGGACTTGAAAAACCAGAAGGAAATACACCAGAAGTATCAAAATTCTCTTGCAATTCATCCCCACCTTGGACTTTTTTCCTAGCGATGGACGCATCTAGCATGAAAGAAGCCAGATCATCCATGCCCACTTCTTGCTCAAAATCATCCCAATCATTGCCACCAAACGCCACAGACGAATTAATCCCCAAAGGATTCTCGTTCACATTCTTATTCTCATCTTCTTTCTTCCTATAGTAAGAATTATTCTTACATTCGTCATCATCCGTCCCATAGTTATAACTCGAATCTGTCCCTTCTGAATGCTGCTCATATCTTGACAAATTCCCATCTCCCTTCCTTAAATTCACATCCAAACATGAAGAGCTACCTTCTTCGATTCTGTCTTTCCCAAACTCAATTATCCGATTAGATGGAACTCTTGGGTTACCCTCCAGACTGAAACTCTCAAAATCATCACCTAATGCAAAACCACTAATACTCCTCACTGACCCGAACTCGGATTCTCCGAAACAATCATTGAATGTAGCTATCGAACTCGGAGTTCCAAGCACCGAGTTCGCGCTGCAATAACGTTCGAATTGGGATTCTCCACAAGATGAGTAGTGCGGCGACGATGCAGTGGAGGCGCCGTCCGATCTCAAATGGGATAAATCCAAAGGATCGGCAGAGGCGACTTGGGCGAGGTTGTTCTCGCAAGTCCCCTTTCCATTAATCATTTGAGAAGTGAAACGGAGAAATTAAAAAGAAGAAGAAGAATCGAATCCACGAGGGCGATCGGAATTGAAAGATAAATTAATCAGCTCAACAGAAGCTGAGAGAAGGGTCTTAGGGTTTGGTACGATTGTTCTGAAATCAACGTTGAACTGGAAAAAAAAACAAAAAAAACAAATTGGATTAATAATGATAACTTTACATCAGTATTTATATATATTTTCAGTTATTAACATTTTTATTAAAATATATATATTTAAAAATTGATTTTAAAAAAGAGAAAATAACCTCAGTGACAAAGAATGTCTTATAATATATGATTTTAATCAATTTTTTTTAGATTTTTCAAAATGACCAACTAAATCGCAATGCGATCGATAATTCGCAACGCGATCTCTGGTATCGCAAATCAGTTTCCAGATTCGCAACGCGAACTTCGACTATCGCATTGCGATTTACATATTCACATTGCGATAGTCGAAGTTCGCGTTGCGATTTTCCAAATTCGTTGCGACAGTCTAAGTTCGCGTTGCGATTTATTCCAAATTCATTGCGATAGTCCAAAATCGCAACGACTGGTGGTATTGCATTTGTTTCTTAAGAATTTTCTCTAAAAAGATATTATTCGCGTGGATGTGTCGAAGACACATATTACCACGACCACGACCATGACCACGAGATAAGACGAGACGGACGGCTGGGGTGGCGGCGCGCGAGAGTCCCCCTTGTTCTCTATCACTCAACAAGGAAGTGGGAAAGCCAAACCTTAAATATCATTCCCAATAGTGTTTCCAATACTATGTGGGATTGAGCATTACCAACACTTGTTCCCAATATTATGTGATTATTCAGGAAACAATTAACAATCATGCACCTTAAAACAATTGAATCAGCAACCAATTGCATTAGTATTATACGATTAAATATGTCATAATTAAAAGTCAATCTACAATCAATCGCGATTATTACCATTTTAAGCAAAACATTCAAAAAAAATTGCATCACTCGCAAGAATAAAAAAAATTGTTATCGTGCAATTACAATCAATTGAAAATAAATTAGAATTGCATGAAAAATAAACGAACCACAAATACTTTTTATACAAATACTAAAGTCATTAACTATAATTCACAAATAATATCACTATTTAAGGCTCAATCCCACAAAGTATTGGAAACAAGTGTTGGTAATGCTCAATCCCACATAGTATTGAAAACACTATTAGGAATGATATTTAAGGCTTGGCTTTCCCACTTCCTTGTTGAGTGATAGAGAACAAGGGGGACTCTCGCGCGCCGCCGTCTCGTCTCGTCTTGGGTCGTGGTGGTGGTCGTGGTCGTGGTAATACGTGTCTTCGACACGTCCGCGCGAATATTATCTTTTTAGAGAAAATTCTTAAGAAACAAATGCAATACCACCAGTAGTTGCGATTTTGGACAATCGCAACAAATTTGGAATAAATCGCAAAGCGAACTTCGACTATCGCAACGAACTTGGAATAAATCGCAACGCGAACTTGGAATAAATCACAACGCGAACTTCGACTATCGCAACGAACTTGGACTATCGCAACGCGAACTTGGACTATCGCAACGAATTTGGAAAATCGCATTGCGATAGTCGAAGTTCGCGTTGCGATAGTCGATGTTCGCGTTGCGAACCTGGAAACTGATTTGTGATACCGGAGATCGCGTTGCGAATTATCGATCGCATTGCGATTTAGTTGGTCATTTTGGCAAATCCAAAAAAAGTTGGTTAAAATCGTATATTATAAGGCATTTTTTGTCACTGAGGTTATTTTCTCTTTAAAAAAATAGTAAAAGATAGAACATCAAATGATTAAATGCATGTTATGTTAAATAAATTCTAAATTACTTGAAGATAAACTACACTAAAATATCTGTAAATCAATATTCTACTTACAATTACTTTTTGTTTAAATAATGTTAGAGCACGAACTGAACTATTTCGGTGGTTAAATAAATGATTATTATTTCTAAAAGTTTTAGATTCAAGCATCATAGAGTGATTGAGCTTTTCATTGTTAAATGGTTTAGGATATTAATAATATATACTACCTCTACCTAGTAATCATCTTAGATTAATAAAAAATAAGTAAATGCTTGAAAGTTAGTAGGGATTAAAACATAACTTTTTAAAATATTAATAACTAAAAAAAACTCACCTATACTTTAACGAGTAACCTACCATGTTTCAATTTTGATCACCTATCTATTTTTTCATAATCAAATTTAACGTTACATTTATATTTGGTCATTTGTTGTTAGGTTTGATGATTTACTTGATAAAAATGACGTGTAACATAGTACACTAATAGTTTTAGTCCTTAAAACTTGCACATTCTATCATATTGGTTGTAATTCAAAATAATTCAACAAGTTTATAATATTTAAAAATCATATCAAAAATTTGAAATAAATCAATAATTCTATAAATGTAACACTCTAACAAGACATGACACGTGTCAAATGTCAAGTGAATTCAATTTGAACAAATAGTTCTAATTTTTCCATAATTAGGGGTTAAATCTGATTGGATAGAGAGTACAAGGGTAAATTCTATGAAACTTGAAATTTTGTAAGGGCTCATATTGGAATTTTGTTTCATTCAGAAACCTTGTATCTTGTCCCAAAATCTTAGCTATTCGTCCATTCTCGTCCGCCGTTCAACACCATAAACATCGTCTGTTACGAATCTTTGTACCGATTGAGGACTATAAATCTTAAACATCTTTCGAAATCGTATTGCTATTCCAAAACTTAAATAGTTCATTCTTTTTAACACTTCAAAGTGACGTCACCCACAAATCCATCCATTGTTGTAACATAATTTTGAAATTATTTCAAATTAAAATGAGGAATAAATTGATAAAAAATTAAATATTACAGATATATTGAATTATTTTGAATTAGGGTCAATTTGATACATAAGTTATAGATACTACAATTCTTATTATACCATGAACATCAACATTTTCCTTAAGTCAACGTTAAAATTTAACGGGATAAGAATGTATATTATTCGATAAATATTTTAAATAATTCATCAGTTTTTGGTTCAGTAAACATCAGTTATCAATTTTTTATGTTAACTTTGTTCTTTTTTGTTGTTGAAAATATATACTTTATTTTATGATTTTAAACATATTTCATAAAATTTCAAAGTTTTTTATAAATATTATTAAAAATTATTTTTTAAGTAAACAACAAAATAATTAACAATTCACATATAGTATTTTAATTTATTTCATTATTTCTAAGTATAAAATATTTATTTTTATATTGTGAAACAATTAAAAATTAAAATTAGTTCGATTCTGATAATTATAATTTTTAATTTTGTAGATCATAATTCGTTCAAATATATTTTATATCAATTTTTTATTTTTTATTTCTCAATTGTAATGATAAGTGATTAAAATAAAACGTAATATAATATTAAATATGATTTTAAAAAAAATTAAATGACTAAAAAAATACAAGAATAAATAGATAATCAAATAAATAGTTTATCGACTTTAATCTACCCCTTGTGCAATTAACCTGATTTTTTTGAAGGTTTAAATAGTGAAACTTGGCTAATAGCGCGAAGTTACTTCTTTGCGATTAGCACAAACCCTAAACCCAGGGAAGCGCATAGCCAAACGATGGCGACTTCAGTCGAAGCATCCGTGGAATCGCTGCGCCAAATCTCAACAGAGCCACCGGTATGGCTCGTGCCCAAACAGGATCTCTCGCAAGCGGTACGAGAGGCGTCGAAGCTTCTGTTCTCTAGCCTGAAACCGCACTGTCCAAAGTCTCCATTTGACGAGCTTCTGATCGAAGGATTCGACGCGGAGCAGATATGGCAACAGATTGATCTCCAATCACAGCCGCTACTGTCCTCCCTCCGCCGTGAGGTCAAGAAGTTCGAGAAACACCCGGAGGAGATTGCCAAACTCAAGGTAGATGTGGAAGAAGGAAAGAGGAGGGTTATAGAAGAAGTTGAGACTGAACACGAGGTTAATGATGGTGACGACGAAGATGATGATATCGATATGGATGAAGACGAGGAGGAGGAGGAGGAAGATGGGGAGGAGAAAGAGAGAGGAAAGGACGAAGACAGTGAGAATGGAGGAGAAGAAAAAGGTGGCATTGAGGATAAATTTTTGAAAATCAAGGAATTGCAAGAGTATTTAGAGGATGATGAAGCAAGGGTGTTTGGATTGAACAAGAAGAAAACAAAGACAGAAACTAAGAAGGACGAAGAAGACACAGAAGAAGAAGAACAAGAGAGCGATGATGAGGAAAACGAGGAAGGCACTGATGAGGCTGAAGAGGAGGAAGACCAGGTAAGAGCAATTATATTTTTTCCTCCATTTCGCTGTTGTTTGAGAATTTCGTTTACCTGAATTTAATGCAGTTAATTTTATGCAGCTCGGACTCTTTGGTGGGAATGATGAATCTGATGAAGACGACTTGGGAAATGCTAGGTTCTAATTTCTGAATTTTATATATTTATATTTATACCCGTGCTTGTGTTGTGTGTATTTATTAACTATAGTTTGTTTTCTTTTCTGTTCTTCCTTATTATTGAAGTGAAAGTTTGCCATGTCTACAATCTGAATCTAGTTATTTCTTGAGTTTGCTACCGATGGAAGTGCTTTACAATTACATGATGGTTGACATTATAGTATTGACACCTGAACTACTAATGAGTGTCCACTTTTGCTTCTGAAATTACAGATATGTTAAGCAACCATAAATGACTCTGTTACAATCTCTATTATGGTGTTGCCAACTGCAGCACCAGAATATCTTTTGTAAACATCACTAATTCTAGTATATCTCCCATCGTAGTTGACAATGTTACTAATTGCAATTTTTAAGGGATCCTCCAGTCTATGACATTTTAATGAATGAATTTCTTTTTAAGTTATGCACCTCCTTTTCTATTTGGGTTTTTTCCCCCTCATAGAAGAATGAATAACAAAAGTCCACCTATCAAGTCTCTTCTACGCTGCTGGAAAATGATGCTCCCTTAATGAAGTTTATATGCTTTCTATTTCTCGAGCATTAGTTTCTTTGAAGTTATTTTATGCAAAAAATGGTTAATATCATTCTGACTAGCATCTTTCAAAATTTAGATCATCATTATACCTATTTCCCTTTCTTTAACCTTGTGCTCTTGTTACATTCAGATACGAAGATTTTTTCAATAGGAAAAAGAGCAAGGATTCCAAGGACAAAACCAAATATAGAGACATGCTGAAAGAAGATTCAGAATCAGATGATGAACAACATATGCATAAGGTAGTAAAATAATCAGGTTTTGTATACACTTGATATTTCTAAATTTCAAATTTATAATGGAACTTTACACACAGTATGGATGACTAGAATTTGGCACCACCATTATGACGGTTGAAGATGGCAAATGGTTAAAGAGAAAATAATACGAGAGAAGAACTGGTGGAAGGAAAAAAGAAGTTACATAACAATAGGAATTTATGTCTTCCAGTGTCTATTTGCTATTCCTTTTTTTTTTTAAAAAAATGAGCAATTTTAGAATTAGATTGATGTTACTGGATTCTTAAATAGGATAGACATAAATAACTTCAATCGTTAATAGTTAGTACTGCATGTATTGATTTTATGAGATTCAGTTTCAGTGCTTTCTTTCCCCCACTTTTACAGAGAAAGGATGGTCTTTCTAAGCACGAAAAAGAACTTGACAAACTCAGATCTAAAATAGAGCAGATGGAGAAAGCTAACTTGGATCCAAAAGTTTGGACAATGCGTGGAGAGGTAACTTTATCTATATCCTGTCCTAATATTATCTAGCAAATGTGCTTTTGGATAATAATACTTAGATTTTTATTAACAGGTAACTGCTGCACAAAGGCAAAAGAACAGTGCATTAGAAGTTGATTTGGATTTTGAGCACAATGTCAGGCCAGCCCCTGTAATTACAGAGGAGGTTACTGCATCACTTGAAGATTTGATAAAGACTAGGATCAGTGAGGTAGACTTCTTCCTTAACTTCTATGTTCTTTATTAATTTTATCAACATAGTACAGATGTTTTCATCAACATGAATATTGTGAATTGTCTATACTTTTCACTGAAAACTGCAGCACTCCCTGCCTTCTGTTTTTTTCTTTTGAATACACTTGAGTTTGCTTACTGCTTGAAGAGTTCTACAAAAAATTCTAATATATATGGTTAGCATATAACATGTTTATGTAAACTAGAGTTTTATGTTACTTTTCTAGATGTGTACTTATTTTCCTGAAGTTGTGGCTGAAATTCTAGAGGGTTTTGTTTTGATTAATTACTTTAACTCGATAATTATTTTTCTTGTATTTATTGGTATATACATGTTTTTAAGAACTGTACAGTTAGGGAATGTTTGCCTTACATAATTTTTATATATTTTTATACTGTTTACTTGTTGAGATGATCTTTATGCAAATTAAAGGGAATGTTTGATTGTTGGGGTTTTAATAGATCAAAAAATTGTGAAGTTTCATTATTTTCCACATTCCAGGCAGATGGTTGCCAGTTGATAGAGAACACCAGTAAGCTAATTGTGGATTATCTTAAGATTTTAACTTTGATATTCTTGTTGTATCTATAGGTGTAACTATAACATCCGAGGTTATGGGTGGTATTTTACATTTGACTGAGGATAGTATCTTAGTGTAGTTTTCCTTTTCCTGTTGGGCTTTTTTAGTCTTCTATTAAGAGTCTGAAGTACTTTCCTTTAAGACCTCTTAGGAGTTCTGGTTATTTTAGGATTAGTGTTGGTTACTATTGAGATCGTGTGACATAGTCAGCTGTTCTGTATTAGCTCTAACAAGAAGTAATATGATTTTATATAGGGCCTGTTTGATGATGTTCAAAAGGCTCCAACTTTATCATCCAAAGCACCAAGAGAGGTCAAAGAACTGGTAAGTTGTAATATGTTCTTTTGAAGGTTCCCATAATTTTTCTCTCTCTTGTAATTAATGAAGGAAATTAATTATTTCAAGCTCTATGTTTGTAATATTGCAGGATGAGAACAAGAGCAAGAAGGGTCTTGCTGAGATTTATGAGGTTTGTATGCTAGCAATTCGAACATACCATTAAATTTTATATTAGATTAAGCATCCTCTGTAATTACCCTCCGGAACTTGTATATTTCTCATCCGTGTACCAACTTTTAAGCATGCTCAGTTCAAGAATCACGAGTGACAATTCTGATAAAGGATATTTTAATCTTTTCCTTCTTTTTAATTGGAAAAACTGTAGGAAGATTTTGTCCAGAAAACAGATCCAGCCTCTGCCCCATTAACCTTCTCAGATGAACTAAAGAAAGAGGTAACTATTTTATGGTTTTGTTTTTCTTTTGATACCCTAGACTCACAGCATTCCAGTCAAGAGTGCTCCTTTGTATTATTTCTTATGTTTGACATTCAGACATCTTAGATGTTTCACCTTTTTTTCTTCTTTAACCAGGCCAGTTTGCTGTTTAAGAAACTTCGCTTGAAATTGGATGCCCTCTCTCATTTCCACTTTACTCCTAAGCCTGTATGATTCTCATTATGTATCCTGATTATTAAATAAAGTCATAAAAATCAGTTTTATTGTAGTGTTATAAGATGTCTTGATTTTTGTAGGTTATTGAAGACATGACCATACAAACAAATGTCCCCGCCCTTGCAATGGAAGAGGTAGGAATGTTTCTCTGTTATTTTTTTTTTATAGAATCTCGGTATAGTCATGGTTTGGCAATTGCTCACATATGTGTGCGTGTGTGTATATGTTAATTTTTCTTGGTCAGATTGCACCTATGGCCGTCTCAGATGCAGCTATGCTGGCTCCCGAGGAAGTTTTTTCTGGTAAAGGCGACGTTAAAGAAGAAGCAGAACTGACGAAGGCAGAGAGGAAAAGGAGGAGGGCTAACAAGAAAAGGAAGTTTAAGGGTAAGAAAATTAAAATTTCTGAGAATAACTAGTACTCTGCTCTTGTGGGATTTAAGAATGTTTAGGTTCTAATGCTTTGTAATATCAAAAATTTCTCAGGAGTCTTTCCTGCTAATGATTTAATGTATAACCTCTCACTAGCATATGATTCTTTTTTTTACATAAGGGGTAATTACTAGCATAATAACTCGTCTTTTGCTATGATGGGACGCGCTTAGGTTTGGTAATTGAATGATTAATATGTAGTAGCTACGATATGGGTAACACAGTTAACATTGGTTGCTGGCTTTCCTAGCCGTAGCCCTCGAGCTCATTTTATTCAAGTTTTAATGCTTTGTGATTGCAGCCGAAGCAGCTAAAAGGGTGGGTAAAAGGCCACGAGATAATAAATCCGTACACAATAGCGATGAAGGTGAGTATCGTCGTATATGTATTCTACGAGCTATATTGTAAGTTAATTGGTTGTTCATAATATTTGCAGGCAGGGAAGTATAGTATTGGTGAAGCGTGGGAAGGAGGAAGACAAGGGAGGCATGGGGTTCTTACATTATTAAGTTCTCTCTGTGAGCAAGCCGAACATGAAGACAGAGCTGAGAGGATCAATCCGGTGTTTTACTTTTTGTAAGAATATAATTAATGGTATTTCAGTTTTAATAACATATAATTTAACACTTGATTTTGTGCCGATTTTAATTATTTTTTTCAAATTCGCTCAATTTGTTTCTTCCTTTTTACCCCTCCCTACAAATAAAGGACTGTCAATTGACGTTAGAGGGAGTAAAAAGTTATTTACCGTCCGTGTAATGATGAAATCTGATTAGTTCTTTACTTGTATTAAAAATGCTAATTGCATTAATTTCTTTTTACAACATTGACTATCGAAACTCGAGTTTTAAAAGTTGTAAAATAGAATGTTGTATAAAGATCTATATAATTTTAAATATATGTTTTTAGAATATTGGAATAGTTTTGGAAGGAAAACTAAATTTCAATCTTAATCGGAACTGCCTTTTTACACGTATATCCTCAAACAAACCAAAAATCACTAAAATAGTATTTCGTATTTATTATTAAAAAACTAAACACTGAAGAAATATTTATTGGATACCATTCTTTCAGTGTCATATAAATGAAACACAACATGTTCTTTTATAGTCGTATTATGTCAACTACTTAAAAGTATGTTTGATTAGTGATGGATGTACACCTTATTTAGGGCTGCTATTGAAATTTAATTGTTTTTGGTAACTTACTTATTTTTTTTATTGTACTCATCTTAAAATCTTACTTGTGTTAATTATACATAAAAATTTTATGTTATTAACATATACGTGTTTTTTTTAAAAATAATTTTAGATTCGTGACTCCATCTAATACAATATACCTTTGATGTATGTATCATTAAAAGGATATATTAGAGACTTATAAAATAAATGTATGAATATGAGCCAAATTAAGTAAAAAAGCAATAAATATGTGTTTTTCTTAAAAACAATTATTAGACTTACTCTCCATGAATTTAAATATCATGTATGTAAAATAAAACCTAATTTAATAATTTATTTTTAAAACCAACAATCAAATGGTCTAGTCGGATGAGATATTAGATTCTTTAATCTGGATTAGTCAATCAATAGATTGGATAATAGTGATTAATTAAAAAGATAATTTATTTTTAAAATTTTAATGAAATAAATCTCATTTTAATAATCAATATAAAATAAATAGTATTTTAATATTTAATATTTAATGGGATAAATAGGCAAAATGGTCCAAAATTAAAATTGATTTAAAAAAAATAAAATATTCATCTGCGAAAGTGAGTGATGATGGGTTGGTACTGGGTAGCCAAAAGGACAAATAAAAAAAGGTATAGCTAAGCCTGTAAATGAACTGAACGTTTAGCGAACCGTTCATGAACCGTGCGGTGGGAAGTTCGTTTATGTGTTCTTATTTATTAAATGAACGAACATAAACAATATTTTGTGTTCGTTTAATTAAATGAACGAACATGAACATAGGTCTCGTTCGTTCATTTACGTTCGTGAATGTTCGGTTATGTTCGTTTATGTTCATTCATTTATGTTTAACCCAATATTCTTAAATCAATTTTGGTGACCAATTTGTAAGTTATAATGTTATATTATAACTTTAGATTTTTTAAAATTACATTATTAAAAATATATTAAAAACCCTAAACCCTTAGTCCGATTATTAAAAACCCTAAATTTTAAATCATAAATCATAAAACCTAACCCCTAAACCCTTAATCTAATTATATGATAAAGAGTTAAGTTATGCACATGAAAGTAACATACAAATTATGCAAAATGATATTATGTGACTCCTAAATAAATCATTCACATACTTATACATAAACATATCAACGTGCAAAATAAATATACACAACTAATTAAATAAAATAATCCTAAACAGGGACTAAATTAAGAGAAACCTAAATGTGAGGACTAATTTAAGCTAAATATACTAACTTTAGAATGATGATTAAATTCACGTGAATGTAAAATTAAACTTGTTATCGACCGTCACTAACTTGTTATCGGAGTCATTTCCACATATTAAAAGCCCCTCCAGGAAAAAGAGGATAACATCATTTAATGAGTTGCCAAGTGGTTCGAGTTTAGAGAGGCAAATTACCTTGGAGCCAAGCTTCTAAACTTCCATTTGGAACAAGCTCATAACAAAGCAGGTTTTGTGAAGAGTCACGACTGTTATAGTAACCTACAAGTTTCACAAAATTACGATGAAGCAATATGCTAAGCATCCCAACTTCAACTAAAACTCTCTATTTCCTTGAGGCCCTCCACTGATAAGCCTTTTAATCGCTACAGTCGTCCCATAAGTTAAAACACACTTGAAAACTCTGCCGAATCTGCCCTCCCGAAGTGTGTTTGCGGGTGCAAAATTGTTTGTTGCTTCTTTGAGCTCTTCATATTGTAGAAATCGAGTGTTGCTTTGGCGGGGAAGAGACCCAGCTTGTGCAACCGCATCTGCAGTCTTTGGTTTTACTACAAGAAAAGAAAAACCTAAGCACTCCACAAGACTGAATTAAAACTAGTAATGCAGAATCAATCAGCATTCTTGTTACAAGGTTTTACAAGATGCACAAAATCACACAACTCAAGCTTTAGTTTTTAGCTAACCGAAAAGAAAATCATAGTCATTGTGGTTAAACATACCAGGTTCTTAAGGAGATGCTTCTGCCTTCCCCCCACAGAATGCACAAGAACAAATTATAAGCACGGATATTATAGCTAACCGAAAAGAAAATCATAGTCATTGTGGTTAAACATTTTCGTAACTGGCCTTGCTGATGAGAGAAAATGCAAGAATAAAGACATCAGCCCCACGATAGCTCAATGGCCTTGCTTAAGCAATATCCCACATTAGGGGAGTACATGAGTGGATAACTTATTTGACATTATAAATAAAAGGCAGCTACCTCCTTTCAACATACTTACTTGGACTGGGTCAATCGAGCTTGAATCGAGCTCAAAATCGAGCTTGAATCGAGCTCAAAATCGAGCTTAAAATTGAGCTTCAATCGAGCTCGAGTCGAGCTTTATTCGAGCTGATGAAATTTTGTTGAGTTCGAGTTTTTTCGAGTTCGATTCGAGTTTCATTATTATATTTCAAGTTCGAGCTGAGCTTGATAATTTTAAGCTTGCGATTTTTCGAGTCAAGTCGAGCTTGCACTTAAAGTTTTTGAGTTCGAGTCGAGCTCAAAAATACTCGAGCTCGACTTGGCTCGTTTACACCCCTAGAAAGAACAATGGAAGGTAGGGTCTCCAACATTTATGTTCGTGTTCATTTATGTTCGTGTTCGTTTATGTTCGTATTCGTTTATGTTCGTTTATTTATTAAATGAACGAACATGAACAAGTTATATTCCTTAATAAACGAACATGAACAAAAAAAAATGTTTGTTTTTGTTCGTGTCCGTTTATGTTTGTTTATTTATTAAATGAACGAATATGAACATACTTCTGTTCGTATGTCGGTTCGTTTAGATTCCTCGGTATAGCAATACCAATAATAGTTTATTAAAGAATTAATGGTGTGGACCCGAGTTTACTTGGCACAAAGAATTGTTAGATGGAATTTGCCGCGCAGTAAAAGTAAAACTAAATTCGAGAGCCGCAAGAACAAATCAAACCCTGGATCTCAACTTCCCGGAAAACCAATCACAGTGCTCCTTTGTTAGAAAGAAATTTATCAGCAAAAGTTAAACTACAAAACAATTCGTGTTTGACTTAATTCTTCTGTGTTGGGGAGCAATGGCAACTACACTGTTTCTGCAGCGGCCCTCTCTATCTTCTTTCTCTTCATTTACTCAGAACCGCCCTTTAACTAAATTCCTCGATTCTTCCCCAACAATTGTCCGTTTCTCGAACCACAGTCGTTTCAAACTTGTTTCCGACTCTGTTTCTGTTTCGGCTCTGCCCAGTGTGCGTGGAAACCCAAGCTCATCAACGGCTTCAATTAAGGAGGTAAGAAAAAAAATTGTTTTGGGTCTTAAAAGTTATCAAATATGAACGCATTCTCTTTTTCTTTTTTGGGTTTCAGCTGATTGAGTGTTTGATAAATCGAGTTGATTTATCGGAGTCCGAGGCGGAGTCGTCTCTGGAATTTTTGTTATCTGAAAATAACGAGGCTCTGATTAGTGCTTTCCTTGTTTTGTTGAGAGCCAAAGGCGAGACTTTTGAAGAAGTAAGTTCCTTATGAACACATTCCTTGGCCTTCTAAAGAAAATTAGGTGATTTACATGCAAATGGTTCTTTTTCCCCCTTATATTTGTACGGGGCGGTGATCTGAGTAAAAAGACCGGCAGTGGCCTATAATATCGTTTTCGTATAGGTTGTGGGGTTGGCGAGGGCAATGTTAAAACATGCTTTGAAGGTAGAAGGGTTAAATGATGCGGTTGACATTGTTGGAACGGGTGGTGATGGAGCAAACACCGTAAATATTTCAACAGGTGCCTCAATATTGGCTGCTGCCTGTGGCGCAAAAGTTGCCAAGGTCTCTCACAGTACCTCTATTTAAAACTATTTTATCTTTCTTTATAGTTGTTGGGCTTATGGATGCAGAATTTGTTGTCCTGCCATCACTGTCCCATTCTTAAATGTTTTATTGTCTGTGGCTCTGTGATGCAGCAAGGAAACCGATCAAGTTCTTCTGCCTGTGGCAGTGCTGATGTATTAGAAGCTTTTGGGGTAGTTATTGATTTGAACCCTGAGGTTGGTATGTTTTGAACACCGGTATTTATGGTTCCATATGGGTATAAGTCACATGGAAGCCTTTTAGAGTGTTCCATTATATGATCATTGGAGGGACAAGTTTTTTCCCATTACTTTTTGTCATTAGTTCAATGTAAGTGACATTTTATTCCCTGGTGACTAGTATCAGTATGTCTCGCATGCCAACCTACTAGGTGCTTAGGTAAAGCTCAATTATCCATTTATTAGCAGCTAAAGAACAAATCTGTCTAGAATCTTGTCGAGAATTGTTTAAAGCTCTTCCATGGGAGTACTAGGTTTTTCTATACAATGCTTGTCAGGCTATTGTGTGGAAAGTGTTGAATAATTTAGTTTATATCTAGTTTCTTAGTTAATTTGAAAAGAAAAAAAGGAAGTCTAATATTTTGGGTGTTGCAAACTTCACTTACTTGCTGTAGTAACAGTTTCCAGTACTCAACAGATGGATAACCCTGTTAGATCTGATACAGAATTCTATTAGAATCCCAATACCCTACATTGTTGCTTAAACTTGCACCTAATCACATGTTGCTGTCTTTAGCCTTCTCAAAATCTTTAGTAGAAGAATGTGCATGTTTTAATATAACTGCAAAAAGAGCCCATTCTACATGATCTGTAAGGCTTTCAGTTTGGACACTGTTTGTTCTTCTGGGAAATGAAAATGTGTTCTTATAGACTATGGCTTGCTTTCGATCTTTTTGTTTTACATTATTTATGGCCTGCTGCTGGGAACTTAAGAAGACTTGTCATTCCCATTCAGTAACACAACATACATATCATAACTTCTACATAAAGACCATCTATTATTACTTGTACCAGAACTTTGCTTGTGCTTCAGTAGTTTGCATCATGACATTACTCATGAATATATCATATATTACTTATTTTATATGATATCTGTGCTGGAATTTTGTTTAGTTGTTTATTTATTTTATTATTTTGTATGTTATCTGCAACTATATGCAAGTGGAAAGAAAAAAGCATTAAGTAGCTGGCCCACTAAATTAAATGAATGTAAATTGTGTACCAAATATCATAAATATAAACCTTTACTGATATTATTGTGACATTGATCCATTTTCCTCCATTTTTCTCATTTTCTTGAAGGGAGTAGTGAGCTGTGTGAATAAAGCAGGAATTGGTTTCATGATGTCACCAAAGTACCACCCAGCAATGAAGATTGTGAGCCCTGTAAGAAAGAAGCTAAAAATTAAAACTGTGTTCAATATTCTGGGCCCTATGTTGAACCCTGCAAGAGTACCTTTCGCTGTTGTTGGTGTTTACCATGAAGATCTAGTAAGTTTTCTTAGTGCCTTAACAGCATTCGTAAAAGTATCTTTCGCTCTCTCCTTGCAGCCTTATAAAGATTTCTAGAATCTTGATTTTTTTTATTTACCAAGATAATCACTTTTATTTTCTTTTAAAGTTAGATATACTTCAAGTGACACCAATTCATCACAAAACTTACATAGAAGTCAAATTCAAATTATAACTACCCACTGAAAAACTAATTACTTAAAAATCTACTTGCTTAATTTTTTTTCATTTATTTATTGAATTTAACAATTTTTGGAAAAAAAGTAGTTTTTCATGGATAGAATGGGTATGGTAAATTGAAGTTATTAATAATTTCTTTGACTTTGTCACCTGTTGTTTCCACTATGATCACTATGATTTTGCATCTTCTGCTTATAGATATGGTGATGATATCAAACTTGTTCCATTTGGCCAAATTGAGTCCATTCACATTGCAAACATGCAAAATTTCATTCAGTTCTATTAAACAGACTTTCTTTACTACATTTCCCCGGCCTAATTTTCGCAATGGCCTTCCCCTGCATCTTGTGTCCTTGAATTGTGATACAATTTCTGGATTTAGAGGTGCTGTGTGGATAGATTCAAGGCCCTAGGTGTCGGCTGCCATCTCTGCTGGCTTGAACATATTATTGATCGAACCTTAGCTAATATATCTTTCTTTTGAAAAATTGTATTCATATCCTTATAATTGAAACTAGTAGTTGCCTAGTTTGCTTGGTCATATTCAAAGGTTCTTTTTCAATATTAAAATATGTTGGGAGTTGCAGATCTTTCACTAAAATGATATATCGATAACATTTGAGTGCTTCATTTTAGGTTCTTAGAACAATATAGTTTCCAATCATGCGTACCCAAGGAAATTATATCTTGATTTTGCAATTAGTACCATGACATGTTTTTTGTCCGATCAATATTTGATAAAAGATACATGTATAGTTGAGGGTTCAATCTTCAACATTCCCCCTATTATATTTGGTAAACATATTCCAATATCTATGACGTTTTAGTTGCCACAACTTTTGTGTCTCAACAACAATCTATTTCATTTTCAGGCTGAAGAAAGACATCCTGTACAATATATCAATTCTCTAATTTTCAGTAGCAAAACTTACTTTCCTATTATTTGTTCAATAAATAAACAATGGATGGAAGTTAGAGTGCAAACTGCAAATACTAAGGGAGAAATATATGAGAATAACTTCTTTAGAAATTGAGATTTCATGATGAAAATTAATATAAACTTTGAAAGGAGAAGAAATATGCCATTTGAGAATTTTAGGGTTTCTGCCCTATGATGATGAAGGGTAAAGGGAAGTGAGGAGCTCAAACTCTTTCAAAACGTATTTATGTTTTAATCGACTATGGAACCTTGAGATCACATATAAATCCAACCTTAGCTATTGCAGTAGATTTTGTAATCATGATTATGTCCATAACCTTCCTGAACATAGAAGTAATTTCCAATATTACAAAGGGAAAAATGTAAGATGGGCATAGTTGCTTGCTCGTATAACATCTGATTGATGCTATAGTCTTGTAGGTTCCACCTCAAGCCATGGTGCCATACATGTGATCTTCTGTTTTAATATCTTTCTTGCACAAAGGAATTAGACATATGATAAAGCATTTGCATTTACATGTAATTTGCTAGTTTTCTCCTTTAATTCAATACTGAGATGAGTTCTAACTGTTTGAAATAGGTCCTCAAAATGGCAAAAGCTCTACAACGGTTTGGCGTGAAAAGAGCATTAGTAGTGCACTCGGAGGGTTTAGATGAAATGAGCCCCCTTGGTAAGCTTCATTCCTCACTCCTCTCCCTTGACTCTCTCATCATATCATGTTGTGTTTACTCTAAATCATTTCAATCTCTCATCATAATGTATATAGGGCCTGGGCAAGTCCTTGATGTCACTCCAGAAAATATTGGGAAGTTTATGTTTGATCCATGTAAGATCTCATCTGTAATTCATGATATTTTCATTGTATATTGACACCATAGATTAATTTACCCTCTAAGTGAAGTTGAGTCCTTGTTAGATGTATATATTGAATGGCAGAAAATGATTTTAAAACTGCTGTATTTTATACTTATGAAGTGCTGAGAAGATAAATATTTGGACAGTGGATTTTGGCATTCCTCGCTGTACTCTAGAGGACCTGCGAGGTGGTGGGAAGGAATACAATGCGGATGTGCTGAAGCGTATTCTATCAGGGGAGAAAGGACCCATTGCAGATGCACTTGTAAACCACTTCTCATCCTTCTTTCTGTCTGTTCCAATATGTGGACTTGCAAGCCACATTATTTCTTTCTGTTGGATAATTAAAAGCTTTTAAACATAATATAATAGCATTTGTAAATGCTAAGATGATTCTGATACAGTAGCAAAATTTTCTCAGATCCTTAATGCAGCAGCTGCGCTTCTAGTGAGTGGGCGTGTGAAGTCACTTTCTGAAGGGGTAGCTTTGGCTCGTGAGACACAATTATCAGGGAAAGCTCTAAAGACACTTAATGCATGGATAGACATCTCAAATGTAAGTCAAACCATGTTTCCTCCATTGTGCTTCACTACTAAACCTCACATCTCTTCTTTAATGCAGAACGTTAAAGAAAAAACTACACTAGAATAAATCTCTTGGAACTTTGGGTCTGACAGAAGGTCTGCATGCTGGAATTATTTTGAATAAAAAATTGGCATATCGTTTTTCTTCTACAAGGTATGAAATGCCAGCTGCCCTTAACTTTAAGAGGGACTTGACGGGATTACCATGTCACATTGGAACATTTGAATAATACCAGGCAGAGATTGGTTGCAAGGCTTTTGGCTACCATCCTGTTATTTTTTTTTTTTTATATTATTGCTTTGATTGTTGTTCAGCTGGATCCTCAAAGTTTTGTTTTCATGAATATAATGTTTTTCCAAACTCGAAACTGTTTCTTTGGATTCCAATGACATGAAGTGTAGTAATAATAAATTACGCAAATTAAACAGACCCAATTCTGCTGTAGCATTGACAGTCTCAGAAATTCAGGCATATTGCAAGAACCACACACTGTTCACCAGTCGGGTACATACATTTATCTATTGGCTATTGGAAACTATTATAAAGTCTAGTAGGACTCCTTGGAAAGAAGATTGCTATTTGCTCTCTGCATAAAGGGTTGATCTCATGCGTCGAGATTGATGGTAATGGCACCAGCATTTGTAAGGAGATTCACAAGCTGACCTGCTTGATGCTTGGCTACAACAGCTGAAACAAATAAAAGAGAAAAAGAAACAGTATCATGCTCATGACTATTTTTCTGATGCCACAAAACCAATATGCATCGAGAGAATGATGTTTCAATTTACTTTTGTAAATTCAGGATTAAGAATTAACCAGCAACCCTGATAATGAACTAACAAGCAATGACTGAAAGAGGGAATTGTAGAATTTGGTAAAGTTGGGCTTACAATCACAGCCACCAATATGTGTCCCTCCAATGAACACATTAGGTACAGTCGTCTGCCCAGTCCACTCGGCCAGAGCTGCTTGCATTTCACCACCATCACCTTACGAAAACAAAAACAATAAAATGTTTTATAGCAATCAACACTAGTTAGTAAATTAATTGTTGATTTTAAGAAACTGAAACAGTTGACTTACTTTCTTCATCCAATTCAATGGTCTTGTAAGAAGCTCCCAACCGAGTAAGCAGCTGCTTAACCCTATTGCAATAACCACAATAGGTTTTACTGCAAAAACAAAAGCAAGTTGAAAATTAGGAATAGAAATCCCAAAATTTGATGATGAATGGAGGAGAATTGTAATTTGTACCTGAAGACAACAACGGGTATGGAGGAAACGATCTGCTTGACCTTGTCAAGAGCCAATTGAATATCTTCCTTACTGAAGTTGTTGGAACTCAGGAAGGAACCCATGGCCGTTTTATAAATAAAGATTTGCCTGTTTGGTATTTAAAGGTGAGACCAACTCTCAAAGATGGAGATGTTGGTGGCAGCTGGGCTGCTTTTGCCAGGCAAGTCAGGTTCCGATCAGAGTTAAGTAGACGCCGCGGGTTCCGATCAGGGTTAGAAAAATATTATGGGTCAATTCGCTCGCACAGGACATTACAGAAATTTTACAATATATATGGATGGTATTTTATTTCTTTCTTGGGTAAAGTACACAAATGGTCCCCTAACTATGGGTATTGTTTTATTGAGTTTTTCGACTATTAAAAATTATAAAATAATCATATGACTATATAAAGTTGTTTTATTGAGTCCATTGACTTTTAAAAGTTAATGATCACCCGACTATTCATATTTACCAAACTCATCTTTTTCAGAAAAAATGATGGTCGTTTGAGCTGGACGTTAACATGCTAATTGAGATATGATAGTCATTTGAGACTCTAGGATCATTTTTTAGCATATCTCAGTCAGCAGGTTAACGTTCAGCTTAGATTATCATCAATTTTTAATGAAAAAAGACGAGTTAAGAACATATGAATAGCCAAATGACCATTTTGTAACTTTTAATAGTCAGAGGTCTCAACAAAACGACGTCTTATAGTCAAATGACTATTTTATAACTTTTAATAATTAAAAGACTTAATAAAACAACACCATATTTTACCCTTTCTTTCTTTCTGAGTGGAAATAATGTGAGTAGTTATTTTAAAGTAATTTTTAATAAAATAGTTTTCTTTTTTCCACAAAATATTATATTAAATAATTAAACTAAATTATATTTGAGTCATTTGATCAAACAAAAGAAGTTATTCTAATCATGGAGAGAGAGATGATATAACCATTTAATAATTAATATAATAATAGATTTAATTTTTATATATTTTATCAAATTAATTTATAATTATAAAATACTAATTTTCAATTATTTTATTTTATTTTTTAGTTTGGCCCTGAAAAGATTAAACAACTTATCTTTATTTTCATAATTTTATTAACAAATCATTCAAATCAAATCTTCAATATTCTTATCTTATTTTCTTTCAAATCAAACAAAATATAAAATTTAAAATCTTCTAATTTTCAAAGTCAAACACACTTCCATCCATACGTTTTTCTATGTTCAATATTTTAACAATTCAACGGTTATACTTTACATTCTATTCACTTAGATCATGCATATCAAAATTTAAATAATTAAAGATATTAAACTGTTTATTTTAGATAAAAAAGATCAATTGTTAAATATAATGGTATTAATAAATTCAACATTTAGATAATTAAAATATTGTTTTGAGAAAAGTTATAAAAATAGATAAAATTATACATTAATATAAGTGGATTCCTCCCTTAATATAAGGTATGTATATAGTTTTCACCTTTACACAAATCTATGTATATAATTTTGGTGAGTGAGTCTTCAAATAAGGATTTTTTGTATACACAAAACCGTATAATTTTTCACATTGTAAATATACACATTTGACAAATAAATAAAGCCTAGAACTTGGAAATGTCCAACTATTGTTGGCCACGCAACTTGGTCCCCAAGAAATGCTTTGATTACTTGCCTTAATAATAAAAAGAAAGGTGGGAAAAGAATATGTTATAGATGGATGCAAATGCAAACTTTTCTTCAAAGTAGAGCTGTCTGTCCAATCAACCCTTCGAATACACCTTGCCTAACTTATGCAACAAGCTATTAGTCTAAAGTTAAAACACCCTCCCAAAACCAATCGGCACTACATATTTGAACACCAAAATGATCAGTAGTATATATATAAACCCCTCCTTAAACCCTACAAATCATACTGATCATAAAAAAAAAAACTACCACGAAGACCTTGTTTTATTAACCTTGAAGTCTTGAGGATGATGATGAGTCGTGGTTGCACCAGGTTAACCAGCTACATCGGTCCACAATACTTGTACACAGCAACAACATGGAGGACCCTTTCCAAAGACATCGTTAGTGATTGCATCAAGGCACCCGCTTCTGTCCTGCGCTGCAAGAGCTCGGTGGCCCTCGGTGGTGACGAACAACAGAAGGAGAAGCAAGCCAAAGATGCCAAAGGTATCGTCAGTTATTGGGGCTTGGAGCCAACTAGGGTGTCCAAAGAGGACGGTGCTCCATGGAAGTGGACCTGCTTTAGGGTACACCATTTTGTTTGAATTGATTCAGTAAGTTGATCTTGTTCCTTTTGTTCAACCCTGTTCTTTAATTGGATTTTTGCAGCCATGGGAGGCATACTCAGCAGACTTGTCAATTGATCTGAAGAAGCATCACGAGCCAATGAATCTGCTGGACAAAATAGCTTATTGGACTGTCAAAGCTCTTAGATGGCCAGCAGATCTCTTCTTTCAAGTATATTTCTTGTCAAAACACTGCTATTATTGTTTCAGATATTTTTTTTCACGAACTTATGTTGGAACGTATTGTTTCCTAATTTGACTGGTACAGAGGAGATATGGTTGCCGTGCAATGATGCTGGAGACGGTGGCAGCGGTGCCAGGGATGGTGGGAGGAATGCTGCTGCACTGCAAGTCCTTGAGGAGATTCGAGCACAGTGGAGGTTGGATCAAAGCACTGCTGGAAGAAGCTGAGAATGAGCGTATGCACCTCATGACGTTCATGGAGGTGTCCGACTCTAGATGGTACGAGCGCGCCCTTGTGTTTGCTGTCCAAGGTGTTTTCTTCAATGCTTACTTCTTGGGCTACATTGTTTCACCTAAATTCGCCCATCGAGTGGTGGGATACCTTGAGGAGGAAGCAATTCACTCTTACACCGAGTTCCTCAAGGAGTTGGACAATGGAAACATAGAGAATGTCCCTGCTCCACCTATTGCCATTGATTATTGGCGTTTGCCCCCAAACTCCACTCTGAGAGATGTCGTTTTGGCTGTGCGGGCAGATGAGGCACATCACCGTGATGTTAACCACTTCGCATCTGATATACATTATCAGGGACGCCAGCTGAAGGAAGCTCCTGCTCCCCTTGGTTATCATTGAAAGCCGGCATTGCCCCATATTCCTTTTCGTTCACAGTCATAATATCAGTGCTGCTTCTTTTATTACTTTAAGATAGGTAAATCAATAAGAACAACCTTTTTGTAAGTAAACAGCAAAATTTTCTTAATTTGTCATAAAGTGTGCGTTTGGTAGGTTCAAATTTACCATATGACTGTTATCTTCTTTATACAAAAAAACAGTAATAATACATGAATATATGTTTTGGAGGACCTTTGTCATGGACAAAATTATGTTAATTTTATGATATTCAGATCTAAAATAAAATAAAATCATTACAAGTATATTGGATTCTCATATAATTTAAAAGATCAATTAAATAGTTTGAAGAATGGGTTGTCTGAGCTATGCATTCAAGTAGTGAAGTCAAGTTTTGTTACATTTTTGGGTTTTGGGGATGAACAGGCATCATTTGGAAGCAAAAATGGCTTCTAAGTCTTTGTACAGTCCTTTTGATTTTGACTTCGGCTTGAAATCTGAATGGGAATCTACAGATGAGCTCCCACTCCTTTTTGTACCCCAAAGCCCGCTCCATTTGGTTCGGCTGCTTGAAGGATCAGTCGGAGCATTGCTTCCATCTTTACTAAAGCTAGCCTTCGCCATTTCCCTTAGTTGCTTCGGCCATGGTTTCTCCAATGTCTCAGAAGTGCTCTTGTTGCTATCACCAGGAAAACTAGTCGTTTCCATGCACTGAAATACTGGGAATTTGCTTTCAAAGCTTTTCATCAGTTTCTGAGGGATGAAATATAGGAGAAATCCAATTGAAGCTATTTTTAAACCTGTGAAGAAAGAGTTCTCAACAGTGTCTAGTTGCTTTGTTTGTTCATACAAAGCATATCCTTCACCGACCATTTGTGCCATGAACCTTACTAGGAACAATATAAGCATGGGGACCCCAATTGCAATCGAAGATTCCTTCTCCAATAGAACAAGGCAAGTAGCAAACATGCCCACTTCACAGCAAAGAGAGATAATTTCAACCAACTGTACCCTTTTCTTGATGAAAGGCTTCTTAAGAACAAGGAAGAATAGCTGAAAAGAGGTTATGCACAGCATGACAGTTATTGGAGTCTTAGACGCACGGTTATCCAAGTAGGCACCTACCAAAACTCCCAGTGTAACTCTTTTCGCAGATTCTAACATGGTATAGTATATTCTGAGTATTCCGAACAACTTTTGAATAAAAGGTGCTTCAGCATCCTCCGTTTCATCATCCGAAGCAATGATACGGTCACCTTGCCTGCTGCTGCTGAGACTGCTACCAGATATCTGTGAAACCATATATTTTGGAGGACCTCTTAAATCTTCGAATAGAGGGCCTAACATGGTTAGATAAATAGAGGTGGCTTCATTTTTCCAAGTCCACTGCCCTCTTTTACCCGGACCAAGAGTAACTCGGATGAGCTCTTGGTACCAGTGAAATTGCTGGCCTTCTTGGTGTACTTCCTTGTACAGAAGCAGCTTTCCAAATGTAATTCCGACCGACAAGAACAAAAATAATGACAGCAGAACAAAAGCCACAGCACCCAGCAACAGAATGCCAACTACAACTCCTGATGGTGTTCCTCCTTTAATCATAAAAGTTAACAAAACGAGTGAGTGAGTAACCTACCAATATGTAAATATGTCATCAATTCAATTTAGAATCAGTGCTGTTTCCTACAGGATTCGATATTATTAAACAAGGATTTCTAGATACAAGATTCTCCAGGTCAGTATCAAAGGAAAATAGTCGTTTCTCCAGATAGAGTGCCAAAATGCAGAAAGGTGAAATAGACACTATTACAGACACTTGAAGTCGACATGTGGTAAAGGATACGAAACAAATAGCAAATAAAAAACCATGTAGCAGTTGAGGTAAAGTTTTTCATGATGAACCATGAATTTTTTAGGGAAGTTTTTAATTGTTTAAGATACCTGCAACTAGAGCAGCGGAGGCCTGGCAGATACAAGGTAGTGCAAGAATTACGAGAAATATCTCGAGTCTAGGAAATATGAGCGCCCCAAAACTCCTCTGCTTTTCTGAATCTCTCTTCTTGTACTTGAGAATGAGAAATAGAAAAGCATGTAACAGTATCAAACTGCCACCAATTACGGCTAACCAGAACAAGCTTCTATCAAAATTCCTCCACCTGCTTAGATGGGACAAACAGGATAAATGATCAATATATTTTGTTAGTACTTTAATGAAGAGAGAAGACAAAAGAATCTTCTTAAACCACGTAATAAGAAGGCAAGGCAAGGCATGGATTGTTTTAAGTGAATGTATTCATATAATTGGCCATTGCTACCAGGATCGGCAAAATGGCACTTTTGAATCGCGAGTGAAATTCTATAATCTTTCTTAAACATGTGATTTCTGACTTTGAAGTTTCAGTTTTACAGTTTGTGTACTTTTTTGTAGCAATTGACAGTCAAGTAGAATATTATAAGCTTTGTTCATTTGAAAAGATCCATTTACAAATGAAGAATTTGTTGAACACACAACAGACAGTATGCTAACAACATTACCCATTTGAATGCAGCCTATCCGAAATATATTCTGCTTCTGGTATAATGCTTTGGCTCTGCTCAAATAAACACAGGTCTGTTACTTGAATGCATTTCTTGTAACCTATGATATTTTATAGTGAGAAATAAAAAGTGATTTCCGACCTCGAAAAATGATCTATATTCAATCGGAGTAAGTGGTGAACCGTATACTGCAGCTGCTATTTTGAAATCTTTTTTTGGTTGAAAAGTATGGGAGATTTCCCTATCATATGCTTGGGAAAGGAAAGAACTTGAAGTTCCACTGGGGCTTGCACCCATCATGACTGGCTGAACATGCCCAGTTTCCCATGGGAGACTAAAATAAGGAATGCTCCACTCTAAACTCTTTGCAAATTCATAATACTCTACCGGCAATGTTACCGGTAACCACCTAATCAGTGCAAAAACCTGAATGTGGCATGCACTTCTCTGTATAAAAAAAAAACACAAGGATTCAATTGTTTGTCACTTTTTGTTTTATATACTGTTGACTTGATAATTACAATAAAGAATAGATATTCTACTCCACAAAATACATACGAAATTGTTTGTCAGTCTAGGACTTATGAAGCTTAAAATATTAACAAATGACTGGTCAAAAACATTGGGAAGTGTTTTGTCTGCATGAAATCTTACATATTGTCAAGGAAAATAGTTGGAAAGGTAACTGAGTACACTTATATCATTATGCTTCATGCTTTCATAGTGATGGCATGTGGAGATGATCTTTAGAATCATTACAAACGAAAGCAAGTACATTGCTTAAAATCAAAGTGGAGAAACAGAAAAAAAAAGTGTCAGGTATCTTACAAAGAGAATCCTTGCTGGGTCAGATGACAAAGATGAAGATGGTCTTGAAAATGCACCGACCGATTGAAGGCTTGCAGTCGACATGGTCAGAAGCCCCGCAGTGAAACATGTCACCAAAAAAACAGCAGTTACAAAGATGGAAATCACCGAAGAGATTACAGGTATAGTATCTGCATAAAATTCGGATAACAGACATTAGATTAGAGAAACAGAAAAAGGTTAGCAACAACAACCTCATGAATGTAGATTTTTCAGATCAATTGAGGTAGTAATAAGCAAAGATTAAGAGGAAAAATATTCTTACAATGCCTCACTCGAAGAACATTAGATGCCAAATTCTTATTTCCAGCAACATCCCCAGTTACATTCTCAGGGACACTAACAGAAACAACATCATCATCTGCGAGTATTTCTGCAGCATATATGCTTCTACTAATTTCATGGAAGCTGGAATGTGTCAAAAACAAGGAAAAGAAGTTAGTTCATTGCGGATAACTCATTCAGAGCATATTTTCCTTCAATAACAAGCCAACAGAAAGCACAAGTACATATTTCTCCACTTTTAAGTTTCTTCCAAGATGTTCCTTATTTTCCTTAAAAAACCTAGAGCATAAAGGTTGGTAATTACTTGCCTCCGCAATTTCCCTCCACTGATGGATATCAATGATGAATTAAAATAAAAAACAGGCTTCTTGAACTTTATCGAAATCGGGATGTTGTCTTCTTGTGTCCTCATATGACTTGTGCTTAATCTCACTGCAGTCCTCTGAGAATCTACATATCACACCTATGTCCATGTCAGTAGGCATGTAGTGCATCTAATCATTGTTCAAAGATAATGTTATTAACTCCACAAATAGAGAAAACTCTTCTCACTCAAGAGAATACTGCAGAAATGGAAGTAAATTTTATCCTCCACGGAATATGAAATTTCTTTAAATTTCGTTTTAGAAAAGTAACTTGTACCATAAAGGAAAGTAACAGGTGCAATTGGAGAAACCGGAGTCCCTTGTCTGCTTATTGTAGAGTTTGCACTGAGGCTTATTGTTATTATAGCTATATTAGATATATTAGCAACCTGAAAGGAAACAATAAAATGAATAGTGAAGTGTCAAAGAGATCATGAGTTAAGTGAACTTTAGAACTTACTGACCATAAAGCCAAATCTGCGATTCCCATGATGTTCTCCAATAATAGGAAGAAGCGTACCCTGACTAATGCTCAGAGAACTTAAAATCTCGGTCGATGAGTTGAGAATAGGTGTTGAGAAGTACAGGTACACCTTAAGGTTATTGTAATTATTTGTTGCCTGCACTGTCCTAACTTCACTTTGTAGTTGAAGCAATTTCTCAGGAACATGAACCCTCAGGTCAACAAATACACTTCTTCTATCTGTGAAATACATAGAAAAACATTTCATGAATGGGTAATTGAAACAGAGAATAAATCTGAAGGAAAGAAGAATACTCACCATAATGCACATAGAAAGTTGAATTTGGTGATCTAGTAAATGGGTTCCCAGCAGCATCAGAACAAAAATCCCTGTCCATTACCAATACCAATCGTCCATACTGAGAAGCAGATGATATGCTCACAAAAAGCAAATACTTGAGATTTGGCTCCAGAATGGTGAGTGATGATGGTACAACTTCGCCAGCACCATAAACAAGCAACTGCCAGGAGACATGTTAGAATTTGGTCATTCATTTTATGCATAAATTGATAGAATAGACTCACAAATGCTCGATAAGAGGGGGGGGGGGGGGGAGGAAATCATATCCTATCTTTGGTCATTTGAAGAATTAATTGACATGGAAATTCATTAAATACACATCATAAAGTCGCAATAACCTTGTGAACATACATTGTTGTTGGTCAGTTGATAAACAGAAAACAAAGGGGTTGTGCACTGATGAACAGGGCAAGCAAATGTAGGAAACACATGAAGTAAAAATCAACATAATTTAGAAGTTTAGAAAATTAAAGGCCATCTACTCACGTTGCAATCATTGACAGATGAACATCTAAAACCTCCTCCACCAGAACAAGATTCAGTGAAAGAAATATTTACAGAAACATTTAAGGTACTTGTGAAAGGTGTTGATGAGGTTATAAATGCAGTGGGAGGGACAGTATCTGCAAAAAGTAAGTTACAATAGAACTTAGTGAAGGACGCTATAATTATTCAATATAGGTTGAATTGAACAATCTACATATACAAAAACAGCTCATTTTGTATTTATTGTAGGAAAAACAAAAGGAAGATGATTACAACTTATAAAGAATAAAGGAAGGTATCTTAACCAACAGTCCAGTTATAGCTAGAGCAGGCAGGTCCTCGAGAGCCATTTATGCAGACCACAAACGAGTGGTTTCCATCTTGTAAGCCTGAGTACAAAATCTTTCTAGCTCTACAATCTGAAGCAGACCCATCATCCAGCTGCATACATGGGGTCACATGGAAGGAGTTTGCTTTAGGAAAACGGATTCGGGAGCTAAGAAAAAGTAGAAACTGTAGTGAGTAACAAGCTAACCTTGCAAATGATGCTACAGTGTGAGCAAGTAAAATTGGCAGTTCCCAATAGTTGAAATACAAATTTGGCTGAGTTGTGGTGTGAAAATGTAGGGGGAGCCTTTAAGAACTTAACGGAGAACTGAGAAGAAGCTTCACATTTCCCTTTGAAACTCAAAACCAAACAAAGAAAAACCAGACCTGACATGTTGAAGAAAGCCATTGCAGAGGAGACTCCAGAGTCCAGACTGAAGTCTCAAAACGTACTGTAGAGTTAGATTTCGTCACAGAAAAAGAGGCATTTTGGTGGGGTCGGCCTAGCTACAAGCCTACAACCTTAAAATAAAAACAAGGAAAGGAATGCACTAACTAACGATAATAATGGAGGGGGGAAATGTGGTGGAGGAGACTGGAGATAAAGGGAAGAGAAGGAAGAGGTATAGATTTTAGAAGGAGAGTAATGGTAGTGGTTAATAATTTACCAGATTAAGCATAGCGCACATGAAACTGACACTTCAGGACAGGTCGTGCTTTGTGTAGATAAGCATGACACAGAGAAGGATTCCCCGAAAGGATTTGTAGGACACACACGGCTAAAGACTATTGACTGCTGTTCTTTTACGGTTACTACAACTCATGTCAGGAGGGCATACCAAATTTTCAACAAATGATGTAAATGATAATTTGGAGAATTGAATTCAACGATTCATTGCTTTCCAGTTTTCATCCTTCTGATTCCCACTTTGTAGAACTTCCTTGTCCATGTTGCATTGATAAAAATTGTACTCTACTTTGCCTCTGACATAGGGAAGTAGAACCAATTTATTTTTCCTTCCATGGAAGTTAATAACCATTTGCCATTTCTCTTTTATTTGTAAAATACAACCGACCTGGAACTTTAATATTTTACTCAAATAATCAAGAGACTGTTAAAAAATATACTCTTTACCACAAACAATATTTCTTTATCTGTCTTTAAATACCAAAAGAGAAACATCAAGTATATAACATATCCCAGAAACCAAGATATTAAAACAGGCATGCTGGACGCTTGTTTCCTTTTTCAAGACTGATGCTGGGCACCCTCACTTTCAACAATGAATTTAAAAGAGAAAAATGGTATTTAACGAACAAGCAAGTGTGGGTGTAGTCTGGTGAAGTTGGGCCCCACAAACAGTAGAGGAAAAAAAAAAAATTGACAATTGACAACTACATGCGTGAGCAGTTTCCTTCTAAAAAGAAAGATGAATGGTATTTGAAACTCAACCTCAAAAATATTATCTCTTTGCCTTACCATTCCTCTCCCATCACTCATTCACGGATAGAACAGAGAATATATATATATCTATATAAACCAATAAGAGAATAGGACATAAGAGATATACCACACACCAGAATAACTTTTTACAATGGAACATTGATAAATCTATAAATATTTTTTAGGATGGACACATATGTATTAATAATAGATATTTTTCGTCTGAGACAAACATAAATAAAATTTTAAGATGAACACATCAGTAAAATAAATAATTAACATAAAAAATTCGAATTCCCACCGCAATGAAGCAATGGGACTCATATCAAATGGTAACATCGAAAGCAAGCAAGCAAGCTGGATTCAACAATGCAATGTTATTAAATAAAAGCGAAAAAACATAGGTTAGGTATAACATTATTAATATCTTCAGAAAGGGCTAAATACAATAACTAGCAGACAATACAATAGCAGTCGAACAACTGGCAAACATACATGTCTTCGACCCAATCAAGTCATGTGCAGGAATAGGCCCTTGAACACAAACCCAACGTTGAAGCTCAACTTACTACCACTAGGGAAAAAACTCAGATCCCTTCAGCCCACAAACTGAAATTTTGTTTTTATATTTTAAAAAAGCACGGAATAAAGTTATTTTTTTATTAATATTAGATAAATTTAAGGTAATATCTATTCAAATATAACTCTCAACAATTTAACATTGAATGTTCACACCTCTTGACATTCTTAGTACTCGAACTTAAAACCTCAAAAAAAAACAGTTACTCTTTTACCACGAAGATCGCTTAGTTTGTGTCCGAACAAAGTTATTGAATATTTCAATATTTTATTTAGACAAGTTTTGAGAAGTCGACAATGGCTTCAGTACCTATGTCCGTTGCAGGACAGGAATGATATCCCAAAAGTACAGTTTCAGGCCCACAACCAGCTGCTACTTGCCACTACTCCCAAATTGTAAACAAACCAACTCCCTTATTTAAGCTTGCTTTTTCAAGGAAGAATCATATTTACGCCATAATTAATCAGGCCAGCCTAAAGCCAATGTGGTGCAGCCTAGAGTAAGAATAAGACATTGTCTTCACTTAATTTGTTTGTAATATGGTTTAAGATAAGATTGGACATGGAACTAGGAGTGTTCAAAAAGTCTGTTAATGTTAATCGTAACCGTTAATTGGTATAACCGTTAAATTTAATAGGTTAATTTATTAAACTGTTAATGCTAAATGATTTCGGTTAATTGAACCGCTAAAAATGATGATTAATTATTAAGGTTACGATTATGAATTTTAATAAATGGTTAACAAACGGTTAACCGTTAATAAATTGAACTTATAATTATATTTTTTTTAGGGAAAATACTAATATAATTAGAAGTAAATTTTGACCATATTCCTAAAATTTGTATATTTTTTAATAAAATTTATACATAAATAATTTAATATATTTTTAATTATTTATTTCTTTAAAAATATAGAAACTTACTTACACTTATATAAAGTGTTTATTATTGGTACCAAGATATTAGGAGATATACATACTTACACCGGTATAAATATGTGTTAAATACTATACTTTTTTGTTGTATGAATTATGAAACTTTAAAACGTTCATGTTGTGTTATTTTTTAAAAATAATTGTAATAGGTTAACCATAGGTTAATATGCAAACGAACAGTTAATAACAATTAACCGTTAACGGTTAACCGTTTCTTAACGATTATATTATAATAATTAAAAAAATCTCATAATCGTTATAAAAATTAATCGACCGTTTAAACCAAACGATACACAACCGTCCCTGAACGGTCTTACCTGGAACCGATAGAAATCAAAATGCTCTTATCTATCCGTTTCACCTCTTTTCCATTAGCTACGCGCCTAGAATTCGTTTTTTGATACCCTAATTGCAACTGTAGTATTAGCCAACCATTTGGGTTTAATAGTAATTTTGAACTTGCTAGGACTTCAAAACAGAGAATTTTGTCCTACTAAACATGGTTTTAATATTTTTATTTTGCTTATTTCAAGGCTTGACCTGATGAGCTCACAGTAGATAAAAATCTGAGTCATTTCTTTTCCACAAACATGATACAAGCAGCGCACCATATATTTGCTTTTTCTTGAATGCTGCAACTGAAAACTGAATAATCTAGCTTTACAAATCAATGTCTTAACACACGCAAACCTATTAATTCTGCCTTCTCTTCCACTTTGAAATAATTTAACTTTCTAAATTTCTTTCTCTGTTGTGGCAATTAAAGGCAGTTTCCACAATTCTTCTGCGTTAAGGGTACACGTGCACAAAAAATTCAAATATCCGATTTTGTGAAAAAAAATATCCGAAACCGGATTTGGGAAAAACCGATTTTTTTTAAACCGGATCGGATATTTTAAAACCGGATAGTATAACCGGTTTAGGAAAAAATTGGACGGCCGGATTTTTTACCGGATTAAAAACCGGTTTAAAAAAAACCGGATAAAAAACTGAAAAAAAATCCAGTCTGGGGTTTAAAAATCCGGTATGGGGTTTAAAAAATTAGATGACCAGATTTTTTATCGGATTAAAAACCGATTACACCGGTTACATCATCCGACCCTCCAAACCGATTATGATCCGAACCGATTTTTTTATAAACCGATTTTTTGGCTTAGTGAAAAAACCGGATATATTTTTATCCGATCCGGATCGGATTTAAATCTGGCTATGTGCATCTCTAGTTAAGGGCAACGGTGGTGGCTTTGTCCGGCCACTCCCTTTCATTTCCATCCTTTTTTTTTATTTTTCAATTGATAGTTGTTCGATTTTATTAGTTTTGAGTTGTATTTTATCATAATTATAATAATATTTTCTCTTGACCATTTTTCTAGTGAATGGTATTATAGATACCGGTGCATTTGAACTCTTGGTGCAAATTTCTTCCATTAGTCTACGATTCTACAGGTTTCCTTGGTTACTTGTTTTCCTAATGTTTCGTTTTTTCGTTCATTTGTATATGATATTTCGTAGGCTTTCCACTATATGTGTCGGATGAGACTATAGTTAAAAAAAGATCGATTTTTCATTCACCCGCTTTAGATACTCTCTAGGTTCTCCTCCTCTATGTTTGATACTCAAAGATGTTGGAATGATCTATCTCTATCATCAAACTGTCACTAGTCACTCATCGTTATATTTTACTTATGATTATCATGAATGTATGTTTGCTATAGTTCTCTGTGATGTCTTTTATGACTAATGCAATTTACGTACCTATTCCCCAAAAAAAAAATAGAAAAAAGAATCTATTGTACTCCGTTTTCGTGAACGATGGGCTCACTATCGTCGCAATAAACTTAATCTTGGATCAGCCCTTGCTTGGTAATGGTGGCTCAAAACCGAGGAATATGCTTGAGATGATAAATCTCCGACAACGAATACAAACAGACAACCCACCTCTAAATCAACTAGACCTTGACCATAAAGAGCTGAGCCCGGATGCAAGTTTCGCACCCTTGTAATCATCTCTAAGCTGAATAAACCTGAATTATGAGCCAAAATCAAAACTAGAAAGCTTCCGCAACCATAAACACCGAACGTAATTCATACACACAAAACCAATAGTATGAGCAATACCTTTGTGCATCTTTCCGAATGCTAGGTGTGCCCTCAAACAAACTGGAGAGGCTTTCAGGAGCAACAATAAAAACATTGGCCAAGCTGGAAACAAACATTTCATCAATGAAATAGATATTTAAATGACAAAACAGTGATCCAATGTTTCATGAATTCAATAACTTACATTCCAAGGAGTTCAAATTTCTCATCAACGGAAGGAGCATTAAAACTACGCACAAATTCTCCATACTCCATTATGTCACGCTTCAGTCTTAGTCCACTACAAATTAGAACATAAAAAAGTTCTAAAGTCAGGTAAACATGTATTACAACACGTTTTACAAGATCTCTATGGTAGACATGCAACAAGTCAACACGAGGCGCTCTCTCGATCAGAAACAGTCAAAAACATATGCTTCACTGTGGTTATTTCATTGTTCGACAAAATAAGAACATCAGAACAAAGGTCAAATACCTCGGATTAAAAGTAAACTTCTGCCAATGATTAAGTAGTCCTTTGTACAAGCGATTTCCCTGAAATGACATAGGATCCACAATTTAACTTTTCAAAATGTGGCATATTCATTAATCAAAACATTATATAAACATAAACCGGAAAAATGACAATAGAAAAGAAAAAAGAAAATCAATACACAGACAACAAAACCACAATACAGAACAATTGAACTTTGATGATTTATGTTTTCTGAATCAATTATAGGCAATGAACTTTGATGATTTATGTTTTCTGAATCAATTGAACAAGTAAACAAAAAATAAGTAACATAAAGACAACCAAGCATTATAGGCAATGAACTTTGATGATTTATGTTTTCTGAATCAATTAGCTTCATATTCATAGAGAATGACCCACAAAAGTTGACTAGAAGGACAAACCTTGTGCAGGCATTTGTAGGACGATGATCAGGAGCCATCCCGTCATCAGGTGAGTGGTAATCCGTTGCCTTTTGTTCAGCTGATAATAGTCGTTCAACCTACAAAGGATTTTCACATAGATATAATAGCTGATAAATAAGAAAACTAAAGAGAGTAAATTTCAGGCAAATCTCTCAAACTATGTAGTGGGTGAGAAGAGAAGAAATGAAATGCAAACAAAGCCCATAAAAGAAATATAGGACTCAAATCGATAGGCACTCTCTTAAGCTATGTTGCTCTAGCTCTTCCTTTTCTTACGAGTACATGTAGATGAAAAATTAAACAGACACTGGCATGGAAGTCCAGCTCTGCAAATGTAAGGAAATACTTAAAAAAAAAGAGCAGACTCATGTTGGACATGCCTATTGGACAATTACCCAGACAGTATTACCAAGAAAAGGCTAAATGGAAAAATGGAAGTTAACTGACCTCAGCCATTACGGTTTCAATGCATTGCTGAAGCCCTTTATGAGCAGCACCCTCTGCACTAGACATTGCTGTGGCCATTTCTTCACAAGAAGCCGCATGAGAACCATCAACAGGCAATAACAGCCGAGATATAGAATTTGCAAAGTACTGGAAATAAAAGGTAAGATTGGTTCAAGTATTCATAAGACTATAATATTCTTTCACCGTGAACACTACTATAAGAAATAACCAAGAAACCCAACATACTTGCTGAACTATGGCCACGCTACTGCCACAACGCTGTACAGAAATCATGAAAGATCTGAAACTGCTTTCACCAGCAGCTGCAGCAGCTTCTGCCTGCACATCAGGTAATTAGCCAACCTTATTTCCATTACTTTTTTGGTTAAGTTGAACCTAATTCACGAAATATATCATAACCATGCATTTACCACAGAAGCAGCTGCAGCTGCCACCCTTCTACTAAGGTTTGTACCTAGCACAAACCTTTCTCTCATGGCTGCAGCCTCAATCAAGCTACCTCTAGCCCGTTCAAGTCCATCAGTTATATATTGGCTGACCTAAAAAATTGAGATCAATTAAGTACCCAAACAAAAATCCAGAGAACCAACATGTTTAAAACTAGCTTACTTGGTCAAGTAGGCAAGTGAACACAGCTTTTACATTGGCTGCAACAATGGTGGGCTGTAAAAATCATATTGCAATTAAGTTAGCAATTTGTCTCTTTTATGACATAATATCTGGTTTCTTTTGGTCACCCAGCCTTTTCCTTTTACCACACTAGCATTTCGTTTCATAATGCATGCTTAATTTTCATATATGCAATCATGTCACGTTAGCTATCCATTTATTTATCATACCAATCATGTTGGTGGATAAGGCCTCTGAATCACACGAAAAAAAAAATGCAAAGCTTTCCAGACAAAGTATTACCATGCACCTTAAGAAACTCACTGGAAAGTTAAGATTTAGACAAAACTTAAAGAGCAATATAATTAATATCTAATACATAATAGAAACATTCAAAAGCCTCATTTTTTCCCCTTAAACCACTTTTTTGGTTCTCAGCCACCTCTATGCAGTCTCTCTTGCAAAAAGATTGTACACAAGTAACAGGCCATACCAATGGTTGGTGGATAAATTATTACCTGAGACGAAAATAAAGTGCATCTGGTTAACGATTCTTCATTCCACCGTACAAACTCTGTCACAACTGCAACAGATATCTGCTGATGTGAAGAAGACACTGAAGCCCCTTTAGAGCGCCTTACTGTTCCAGTTGAATTAGAAACATTCTGGTTTTCAGCACGCAATTCTTCCAACTGAACCAAATCACATATGTTACAAGTTGCAAGAATGAAGCAAATCAAGCACTCGAACTTTTGGGATCAAGCAAAGCAAGTTTGCAAACCTTTGCTTGATACAGTTGTCCAAGAGATGCTTGTTCATGTTCAGGATATTCATCCTTGTGAGAAGAAAAGAGAGACTCCATGAGACCTGTAAATTGAGTTCAGCTATCATTATTATCTGTTATACATACAATTTACCTTTCTACTACAGTCTCATTGTTAAATGCATTGTCAATGGTCATACTTTTTTGATAAGGATGGTAAAAGGGTTACAGATTCAGCTAAAAGAATACATAACTTTCTTCCTACTCAGTGTTGTCAAGGCATGCGCCTACACGACCTGCACTTTGCGCCTTGGTTTATACAACAATAGAGGCCAGGCCCATTTTATCATGTGCACACCTAGAGCACTTAGGCACACCTTTTGGTAAAGCGATAGCAATAAAAATGCCTACCTGATTTGATTTCTCTTTAAATTCTTTTATTTTTTACTTTTTTTCATTTGATATATCTTTACCAGTAAGAAAGGGATGATATCAAACTCTATATTTTGTAATATTTGAGTGTTAAACAACGAACATTGACAAATAAGGAAATCCTACATGTTGTGACCAATATAAAGATTGCATGTTTTGCAACAAACTAGATCTCACTCTAGAGTTTATCATATACCTTAAGCTTTATATATATATACACATATATTATAAAAGCACATACAGATATTGTGCTGCGCTTCACTCAGGCTAGCACTTTTTTGTGCCTTGCGCCTGAGGCAATAAAGGTTTATGCGCCTGAGGCAATAAAGATTTATGCGCCCTGAACCATTGATGACATCATATCTCTAGATTGAAATCCATACACTACATTAAATTTTAATTTTCCAATTCATCTGGCACAAAGCCAGTTCTATGTGAAGAAAGGCCAAATTGGGGTCCTCGGCCTTTAAATGCTTCAACTACTGGTACGACATGCAAGGTTTTGAAGAGGTTGTTTCATCTGCTATTCTAATATTCAAGAAGAAAAACAGAAGGTTCAGAATTGGGGGATTGCTTAAAAATACTAAAGGATCCTTCCTAGCTTGGGTGAAAGCCAAGAATCATGATTCCACTAAATCAATTGCTGATTTGGAGGCTTCAATTTATTCGCTAGAAGGGAGATTACAGCGTGGGGAACATGATCGTGCCTGAGATTACAAAACTTCGGAGCAAATTATGGAAGGAGATTAGGGATGAGTAGAGGGCTTGGTGGCAAAAATACAGGGTTAAATGGCTCAATGAGGGGGATAAAAATACTCGTTTTTTTCATTTCGCTGCTTCTTCTAGGCGCAGTGTCAACTGGATCAATTCTATAAAAGCGGGGGACAACTGTATCTTCTCTAATCCTTGCGAAGTGAAGTCATTAATCTCTAAGCAATTTCGAAAAGCATAGAATCAGAAAACAGCCTTGGAAGTTGAAGAACTAAACCTGAATTTTACCAAGTTGGACGAAGATCGGGTGAAGATTTTAGAAGCAAAAATTTGACAGGTAATACACTCACTTGATAGTAATAGTGCCCCTGGGCCCGACGGATTCAATGCTGGCTTCTTTAAAAATTCTGGCATCTTATCAAGGAGGAGATCTGTAATTTCTTTAATGACTTTTATTACCATCAACAATGGGAGAACTGCATTAATTTCTTTGGAGTACCGGCCGATCAATTTAGTTGGAGGGGTATATAAGATTTTGGCTAAAGTGTTGGCTAATAGATTGCGGAGTTACATCGATTGCTTGATTAGTAAATCTCAGTTCGCGTTCATTTCGGGAGGCGAATCTTAGACAATTCTTTAATCGCAAATGAAACTATCGATTTGTTGGTTAAATTGGGCTATAGTGGGATTGCATTCAAAATTGACTTTCAAAAGGCTTGTGATACGGTGGATTGGGACTTTCTGATTTGAATTCTTAAAGAAATGGGGTTTGGCACACAGTCACATGGATCGCGGTATGCTCAGTAAGAGAACGTAGAACGAGATCACAATTCGTTAGGTCCCTAAAATTCGGTACGAGGGGGTAGACTTCTTTTGGATCGCTCCGGTACGATGTACCATATAAATTGGTACGATGTACCAGTTTCTAAGATAGAGATCAATTATGCATGGCTCCTTTAGGAACAAAATAATTCAAAACTCAAAATCTAATATGCATAAATCTGATTTAAGGACTAAAATAAATTGAATAAAAACTGAGCATGGCTCCTTTAGGAATAAACCCACGCGAACAAAAATAGACCATCCTGGACCCCAATTAAACGGCAGTGTTTAACCAAACTATCTAAAGCCGATTAAACTCACGATATAATGCTTTCAAAATAAATAATTCACGAGATAATGCACTCCCCATATTATTTGCTGAAATAGGGTGAAATCCACAGTGTGGCCGTAGGTCGCCATGCCTTCCGGGCGACCTACTACGTCGCCGGCTTCCCTGGACGTCTGCATGTGCCATGCACGTCCCCAACACCCCAACACAGGTTGCTGGGAGTGCATGGCGACCTGTGTTGGGGTGTTGGGGACGTGCATGGAGTGCATGGCGACCTTTGTTGGGGTGTTGGGGACGTGCATGGCACATGCAGACGTCCAGGGAAGCCGGCGACGTAGTAGGTCGCCCGGAAGGCATGGCGACCTACAGCCACACTGTGGATTTCACCCTATTTCAGCAAATAATATGGGGAGTACATTATCTCATGAATGATTTATTTTGAAAGCATTATATCGTGAGTTAGCCCATCTAAAGCCTTTACAATTTAACCTAAAAATAGATCATAATTTATGCTAAACCTAATCCCTTCCCCTTGCTCCGTTTTGAACCTCTTCTCTTCTTCATCCTCTACTCCTCACACCCACATGGCCGAAACTCTTCACAGCCCCAGACCCGAGCAACTTCGAAGTTCGAACCCTCTTCTCTTCCATCACTTGAGAAGGAAACCCAAAAGGCTTCGATCATCGATCATCAGCCCCGACGAGGGGCTGTTTTGAAACGGTTTCCCCTCTCCCTCTTATTATCCTCTGATTTTTTCTCTCAAACCCCCAATCCCTTTATTTTTCTGATTGCATCTCCTTTTATCCCTGCTGCAAAACTACGATGTACCGAATCACGATTTTGAAACGATTTGATCGCGATTTTGAAACGATCCGAACACGTTCGTAACGCGTTTTGGATCGCAACGTTCAGTACTTAGATCGTGGCCAAATGAGCGATTTATGTAACTATGGTTTGGCAACCGATGGCGTTGATGGACTTATCAATGCATATCTATTGCTCATATTTCAGTCCTGGTTAATGGATCTTCGACGGATAAATTCAAGATCTCTAAGGGTTTAAGGCAACCTCTTTCACTGCTTCTGTACAACATCATTGGAGAACCTCTAAATCTGGTGCTAATCAAAGCGCTAAATACTGGGCTGTTTTTCGAGGTTTTTATAGAAAATGACAACAATTTTGTAGAAAACAGATTGTAGAAAACAGACAAGTCTATTATTTTTATTCTTATACACATTCAGTAGAACATATTACATATTTATATACAAATTATGCCTCTAAACTAGGAAACTCTAAGAAAGGAAACTAATCCTAGGAGATGTAATCCCTTGAAATAAGGGATTGAAAAATAGAAAATAATTACAAAATCTCTTAACTTAAGGGATTGACAACTCATTTCTATAATTCCTACACTCCCCCTCAAACTGGTGTATATATGTTGTATATACCCAGTTTGAATGACATCTCATCAAAAGTCACTCGTGGAAGGGCTTTGGTGAAGATATCTGCCAACTGTTTCTTCGTCGGAATGTACTGCAGTTTTGCAACTCCATTGTTGACCTTCTCGTAAATAAAATGTCTGTCTATCTCAATGTGTTTCGTTTTATCATGCTGCACTGGGTTTTTTGCTATACTCATAGCTGATTGACTGTCACTAAAATATCAAAATTCTTCTTATCATCTAAGTCCAGTTCTGTGAGCAGTCTTTTAATCCACATTCCTTCACATATTCCGAGAGCCATTGCTCTAAACTCTGACTCAGCACTACTTCGAGAGACAATAGCTTGTTTTTTACTTCTCCAAGTCACCAAATTACCCCAAACGTAGGTACAGTAGCCACTAACTGACCTTCTATCAGTTAATTCACCTCCCCAGCTTGCATCCGTATAAACCTTCACTGTTCTGTCTTGATTTTTTCTAAATATAAGTCCAGCTCGTGGGGTAAATTTCAAGAACCTTAAAATTCTGTTAACAGCTTCCAAATGTTCTTCTCGAGGATCACTCATATGTTGGCTGACAATGCTCACTGAGTATGCAATATCAAGCCTGGTCAGTGAAAGGTAGATTAACTTCCCAACTAACCTTTGGTAGGTTTCCTTGTTTACTGGATTTCCAGTCCTTTCCTTGCAAAATTTCAAGCCTGGCTCCATTGGAGTTTCAACTGGTTTGCAGTCGAGCATCCTAGTTTCTGCAAGATCCAAAACATACTTACGCTGGTTTATGACCAGCCCTTCCTCGGACCTTGCAACTTCCATACCCAGGAAATACCTCATACTCCCTAAATCCTTGGTTTCAAACTCCTTTGCAAGATTCATCTTTAGCTTTTTTATTTCTTCTATATCACTGCCAGTTATAATCATATCATCTACATAGACAATTAGGAGGGTTATCTTACCACTCGGTGTAATTGTTCTAAATAATGTGTGATCCGCTTGACTTTGTTTGAAACCATTCTGTGTCATAGCCTTAGCAAATCGATCAAACCAAGCCCTGGGAGACTGTTTTAAGCCATATAAGGATTTATTGAGCTTGCACACAGTTTTCTTAGTGACCTTTCCTTCTAATCCGGGGGGGACCTCCATCTATACCTCTTCTTCAAGGTTCCCATTCAGAAAAGCATTCTTTATGTCCAGCTGATGCAATTTCCAGTCCATCTTAACAGCTACTGATAACAATATTATGATGGTATTCAATTTGCAACCGGTGCAAAAGTCTCCTGGTAGTCGATGCCATAGGATTGAGAAAAACCTTTAGCAACCAGCCTTGCCTTGTATCTTTCCACACTCCCATCCGAATGATATTTGATTGTGAATATCCACCTGCATCCAACAGCTCTCTTCCCTTTTGGCAAATCTGTCAAACTCTATGTCTTATTCTTTTGCAACGCTTTTATCTCTTCTTCCACAGACTTTTTCCACTCAGGAGATTGAAATGCTTCTGTCACATTTCTTGGGATTTTCACAGTGTTAATGCTGGCAGTGAAGGCCCTGAAATTAGACTGTAATTTCCCATATGCAACATACTTATTTATGGGATGAGCAGTGCATTTTCTTACCCCCTTCCTAATAGTAATAGGAAAGTCATCAAGATCAACAGTAGTAGCCTCTTGGTAACCATCATTACCTTCTGTTTCAGCTACAACAGGATCCGAATCTGGTTCTTGGCAAATGCTAGGCTGACTGATTTCTTCAGCAACATCTTTCCTTCTTCTTGAGTAAACACTGAGTTGTTTCGGTTGGGGAGTTATGGTTTCAGGGTCATTGTTAGGTGCATTTTTGGTAGTGGTGGAAGGTGTTTTGCACGGACTAGAGTGCTGAGATAAGGAGGAAGGTAATTCATCAGAGTTATTTAGGTTATTCCCATCACCCTCCATAGGAACTGGGACAGTGCTAGCCGGCTTTGGAGAGACAGTAATAGGTAAGGAAAGAATAGGCTGTAAAGAAATATCGGTTTGAACAGGTTGAAATTCCTTGTAACTAATAGGCTGTAAAGAAATATCGGTTTGAACAGGCTGAAATTCCTTATAACTCTCCCCCTGAATTTCTATTCCTGAAAAATAAGGTTGGTTTTCAAAAAATGTAACATCAAAGGAGACATAGGTCTTTTTTGTGGAAGGTGAGTAACACTTGTAACCCTTCTGACTCGAAGAATAGCCCAAGAACACACACTTTATGGACCTAGGATCTAATTTCCCTCTGTTGTGGATATGAACAAAGGTTGTACACCCAAACACCCGAGGAGAAAGACTTGAGTTTAAATGTTTAAAATGGGGATACAGCTGAAACAAAACCTTAGTAGGAATTTTGAAATCTAAGGTCTTACTTGGCATTCTATTGATGAGGTAAGTGGCTGTAAGAAGAGCTTCCCCCCAAAGATACTTAGGAGCATTAGCAGCAAACATAAGAGACCTAGTAACCTCTAGAAGATGTCTATTTTTCCTTTCTGCTACCCCGTTTTGTTGAGGTGTGTTGACACAAGAAGGTGAACAATGCCTTTTTCCTTAAAGAAATACCCAAGGGTTTTATTCAAATACTCACTCCCATTGTCACTTCTTAGAATTTTGATTTTTGTGTCAAATTGGGTTTCAACTTTTTGATAAAAACTTTTAAAGAGAGACTCAACCTCAGATTTTTCTCTCATTAAGAAAACCCATATTGTCCTAGAGTAATCATCTATAAAAGACACAAACCACTTATACCCAGAAATACTTTTGACAGGAGAAGGGCCCCAAATATCACTATGGATGATAGAAAAAGGTGTTGTTGGTTCAAATTTGGCTGGAATATATGGTTTTCTGGTGTGTTTGGCCATTTGAAAAATTTCACAGGAAAACAAAGATGGATCTTTATTAGTGAATAAGTTCGGTAACATTTTGGAAAGATAGAAAAAATTAGGATGACCTAATCTAGAGTGCCATAACATAATTTTATTGGTATTGAGATCAGAAGATAAAATTGGTTTCCTAAGAGCACTAGATAAGGTATGATTATAAGATGCTTTACCTCCAAGGGTGTATAATCCTTTGCCCAGCTTAGCACTGCCAATCACCCTCTTCGAGCCTTGTGCCTGAAAAATACAACCACCTGTATCAAACACAACATTACAACCAAAATCTTTAATTAATTTACTGACTGACAACAGATTGCATGCAAGTCTAGGAACATAAAAGACATTATGAAGTAGTAGATTTTTGTTTAATGTAACAGAACCACTCCCTTTGACTGTAGTGAGAGAGCCATCTGCTATTTTGATAGAAGCTGCTTTCACTATATTCCTCCAAGAGATCAATATTTCCTGTCATATGATCTGATGCACCCGAGTCTATTATCCATTGTACCAAGGAAGCATATGGATTATTTCCATCAGTAGTAGTATAAGTCACATTTGTAGGCTTGGCTGTCATACTGCTCAAAATCTGCTGCAGTTCCTCTATCTGTTTCTTGCTAAAACTGCTTGAGGAATCATCTTGAGAGGCAATATGAGGCTCCTTTTGAAACCTGGACCATGTGGGCTGCCAATCAGTTGGTTTTCCGTGCAGCTTCCAACATTGATCTATCATATGGCCTGGCTTCTTACAATGTTCACACCAAAGGTGATTTTTCCTCTGTTGCTTTGAAAATTTGAAATCTGAAAATCAGATTGAGAGGGGCTGGTCTGGGAAATGATTTCGGATGCTGAGGGATCCGGATTAGCCATGAAAAAAAATAGAGTTGAATAGGAATTGATTTAAAGAGAAGCGGAAATCGGATTGATCGCTCTAACCTGATACCATGTAGAAAACAGACTGTGTAGAAAACAGACTGTAGAAAACAAACAAGTCTGTTATTTTTATTCTTATATACATTCAGTAGAACATATTATATTTATATACAAATTATGCCTCTAAACTAGGAAACTCTAAGAAAGGAAACTAATCCTAGGAGATGTAATCCCTTGAAATAAGGGATTGAAAAACAGAAAATTATTACAGAATCTCTTAACTTAAGGGATTGACAACTCATTTCTATAATTCCTACAAATTTTGTATGCATCTCTCACCTGTAAAAATAAATGGATGCTAGGCCATTCTTATGGAAATATATACTTCTAGTTGGTGGCGGGAATTCAATTTTGGTATGATGTGTGGATTGGGATCTGCCCTCTTAAAGATCTATTCCCTCGGATTTTTGCTCTAGCAATGAATAAGGTTGGAGTTATCTCGTGTTTTGGAGAAAAAAGGGGATTGACTTAGAATTGGGATCCAACTCAGACTAAGGTTGTTCTATTGAGAAATAACCCAGTGGAATGACTTTTATAATCTGATTTCAGATTTTGTTGGTTCTAGTTTGGACTCTGACTGGGTGAAGTGGGATGGTAGTGACGGATCCTATTTGGTTAGATCTGTGGGTGATATTCTGACTTTCACGTCTTCAACCGGAAAAATGTGGTGTGGGTAGGGTTAGCTCTTCCGAGAGCAGAAGCATTTATTTGGATGGTATTACACTGTCGAATTTCGATCAAAGTTGAACTCTTTAAAAGGTTGTATCTTCAATCTCTAATGATGTATGTCCATTTTGTGCTAAAGAGCCCGAATCTACAGAACATCTATTTTTCTCATGTTATATATCTTGGCAAGTTTGGGCCTCTTTCTATGCGTTATGGAATCTCCACATAGTTGCTCCGAAGGCCATGTTTAATATTTTGAAAGGAATATGCACTACAAGGAGGATCTGTGAAGTGTAGAATGTAGACAAGTATTAATATGATCTGTCGTGTACTTTATATGTATTTTATGTTTATCTACTTAGGAAAGAAGTTAGATATCCATTAAGTAGTTTAAATAACTAGAACCCCTATGTGAACACTAACCTAATAGGAATCTACAGTTGAAAAATTAAACCTTTTTAATCAGGCTATTTTCTGTAAGTTTTTTACGAATGAGGATTCAGAAAGAGTAAAACACACTTCTTTTTCTCTAAATCTTTCGCAAAGCTATTGTCATACTCTTATCTTCAACATCCAAATCACCACATCCAACAGCTCGTAGCTCTCTAACAAGTTCCTGGGTCTTCTCATATGCCACAGCTAGCATCCTCAAATACTGAAGCCTCAAGTGGAATATGTGTAAAGTCAAAATTTGCCACTTCTAATAATGGATGCAATTTTATAAGTTCATTTACCAATAAAAGTCCACCTTCCTTCATGGGAGGAGGATTCACAAGAGATGGCTTCACTAATAATTTGTCTAAAAGAATGGTAATCCTCTGCTCCAAAACGCGCTGCATATGACGTAGGAAACAAAATATAACTAGAAAACAAAATATAACTAGAAAACAAGTACACATAATGGTGCTGTATATAAATCGATTAAATTCGATTACAAGGGAATTTGAAATACTGATTCTTCGAGAAACCTGAACTAAAATTGACATAACATCATTAGGAGACAGGAACACATCCATAATTGTTGCTGCTTCTTTGCGCACAGTATCTGTAAGAAAAACAACAAAGGAACAACATATCTATTAGTGAACTCAAACCCTTGACTTAGCAAACAGTAAAACTCTCAACCTGTAATTTCTTTGTATAATGAAGAAAGCCCGCGAGCAACATTGCTAGGACTAGCTTGAGAACCCTGCTCACCAAGTACTAGTCGGGTGTCAGAATTCATGACTTCCACATCAATGAACATTGGACGGGTTGCCACATAGTGTAGCATGGCACTGCTGCCCCTGTTAAGCTGCATTTGTGAAAGAGAGAAGTTCAAAATGATGCCTGACTTAAATTTCATAGAGGACAAACTATACAAACAATTAGTTAATACCTGAGATAAATCTTTGAGCATTCAGACATGGTAAACAACTCCCTTCTCTGTGATGCAGCATCAAACTGAGCCAATAACCTGTTCTCCAATTCTACAAAGAGTTTGAAAAAGATAAAATCAAAAGATTTGATAGACTTGTCCTTACAATAGGGGGCATAATTTTGTGAACTTTTTCCCTTCACAGTTTGATTCTGAAGATTCTACAAATTATCAAGATGACTATTCCTTTAGGTAACAAAATAATTTTATCAAAAATTTCCACTTTCATAATCTAATAAGAGTCACTCATTCACTCTTTTATCATTCTCATTGGTCACATGTTCTTCATGTTAGTCAATAACAACAAAATTGTTAGCATACCATTGCAGTACTCCTGAAGATTAGCAACTGCAACTTCCAATCCTCTACTGGCAGTTACACTTCCAACAACTGATGGCACATCTCTGGCAATATCCTCCTCAGCAAATGTTCCTAAAATCAACAAAATGACATGAAAGGTAAATACTGTTCATAAAGCTGTAAGAAGCATAAAAAGTATATTTGAAGTTTGCTACCATGGAAATAAGTTCCTACAATAAAATGTTACATTAAAATTTCCATTTTATTAGAACGAGAATGAGTGTGAAAGCTAGAGAGAGAGTGAACGTGGAGTGCAAAAGGAATACTTCTTTAGACAGAGGTAGAACAGAGTTAAGAGGAGTTCTGTGGGTAGCGTTCGTAGATAATCTCAGTAAGGGAGTGCATAGAAGTGCTTTATGGAAACATTTTAGTTTTCATGGTAAGGTGATTAAGGTGTTTATCCCGTTTGTTAATAGGAGACCTAACTATAAGGTCAGTACGTTTGCCTTTGTGCATTTTGCAAGTGAGGAGGATTTGCTGAAGGCAGTGGAGCGTATGAATAACGTGGTGATCGATGGGAGGAGGGTATTGGTGTCGATTGCAAAATATCATAGGAATAGTGCTGCGAGGAACTTGAAGCGAAATGTTGTGGTGGGGTCAAGAGATGCGGGTGCAGAGGAGTCCAAAAGAAAAAAATCAATACCCAGAATGGATGATATAGGGAAGAAGGAGCTGTTAAACAAGTTTCATGATGGTAGGACATATAAGGATACAATATTGGGGGAAAAATTGATGGCCAGCAGATGAATAACGTTGGAGAGATGAAGGTGAAAAAGTCTCTGGAAGTGTTTATTCCAATGGAGGAGAGGGTATGGCTAAGGTCGTCTTTAACAGGAATTTGTAAGGGGATTTTTGAAGTAGAATTTGTGCAGGGGGCTTTAAGGACTGAAGGTTTCAATGTCAAGGTGGCAAGATGGGGATATGCAAAAAATGCATGTTTGATAGTTTTCCATTCAATGGAGGAGAAAAAAGAAGCGATGGAAGATAAGTGGGAGGAATTGTCCTTCTGGTTCGAAAGGTTGGAATCTGTTGTGGATGAGAATGGTGTTCCATTAGCTTATTGTACAGTTTCCTTGATAGGTGTTACTTTAAATTGTTGGACGGTTCCATTCTTTACAAACTTGGTAGCGAGATGGGGCAAGCTTGTGAAGATCCAGGAGCAAACAGTTCAGAAAACGGATTGTAGAGTGGCACATTTGTTGTTGAGGGTGGAGAGTCCTTTTGATATTCCTTCTCAGGTTTCCGTCAATATGTATGGAAGATCGTTTACCATTAAAATTAAGGTGGAAGGGAGTGATGATTTTTTTTCGGTCTTGGAGGATATGGTAGAAGAAAACGGAACAGTGGATCCTTGGGAGGAGAATTCATCGGGCTGGAGCCAGCGGGATATTCAGGATAGACAGAAAGTGCAGTTGGGGCAGCAGTCCTTGTCAGATTCCCAGGACAGGGTCGAAGCATGGGTTCGGGGGGGGCTCAACAAGGAGATGATACGCTTATCGATGGAAATTTGAAAGAAAAAGTATGCGCTAATAAAATGTTGGTTGTTGACTTTTGTTCTGAGGAGACAGCAGTAGATGGTGTTACCAGTCAACAGGGAGTGTCAGAGGATTTTAATGAAGGGAGAGAAAAGGAGAGGAACATTGGAGATATCATATTGGGCCAGGACACGGTTGCACTAGAAAATGGGCTTAGTAACTGCATAGATAGGAGTCTAACAAACGGGCCTGTTCAAGGGAATTTAAGATCAAATATTGCTGCCATTAATTCTGTAGAAGTTACTAATGTTGAAGGAGCTGTATTAAAGTAGCAGAATGGGCATGTCTCACCGGTGATGAGTCGTCATTATGGGAAATGTGCGTCAGTAAGTAAAATTGAGAGAGGTTTTTATAAGAATGTATATTCCAGGAGATGGGAGGTTAAGAGTTGTAATGGTAAGGAGCTTGAATCCTTTGAAGTGAATGACAGAGAGGGGGTGGCAGAGGCTTTGGAATGTTGGAATGTTTCCAAGTTATTGGGTGTGAAGTTCAAAGGCGGACAGAAAGCTTTTATGGACAAAATGGTTCCTATGGTTAATGAAAGGAACTCAAAAGAGGGAAGGTAGTTGTTATTGGGAAGCAAGGTTATTGTATGTTATTGATGGTTGAGTGGTCGATGTTGTCTTGGAATGTTAGAGGGTTGGGTAGAAGGGTGAAAGCTCGAGCAATTAGGAGATTTGTTGATGAGAAGAAACCTACAATAGTATTCTTGTAAGAGTCAAAATTGGAGGTTGTTAGTCATATGTTGGTGAGGAAAATGGGGGGTAAAATACTTACTGGTTCGGCAATATCTCCTGCTGTAGGCTCTGCTGGTGCTCTAATAACCTTGTGGAATCAGAAGGAGTTTGTGGTGAAGGATGTAGTCATTAATAGTAGATTTGTAGTAACTAAAGGGATGTTGGAAGGAGTACCAGGAAGTTGTTGTTTTATTAATGTGTATGGCCCTAGTGTGGATGCAGATAAAGAGATGTTTTTCAGGGAATTGTTATCATTTTTGGATAATGTTGACTGTCCATTATGCTTAGGAGGTGATTTCAATGCAGTGTTGTCACAGGAAGAGAAAGAAGGAGGGGCTGTGAATTCGGTAACAACGAATATGTTTAGAGATTTTGTGAGTAAGGCCAATTTGTTTGATTTGCCTTTGTCTGGAGGTCGTTTTACATGGTGCAATAATAGGGAAGTTCCCACTTTTGAGAGGTTGGATCAGTTTTTGGTTGATCAGAGATTACTAGCTTGTTTTCCTAAGATAAGTCAGTCACTGCAGCCAAGGTCTGTTTCAGACCACAATATTATTTTGTTAGAGAACAAAGTATGTAATTGGGGGCAGAAACCGTTTAGACTGTTTAACTATGTAATGGAGGAGGATGGGTTTAGTGAGATGATGGAGAAGGAGCTAGTTAAATTTTTTAAAGAGGAAAAAGGGAAGCCCATGTCTAAGGTGCTGAAGAGGGTGAAGGGTGTGGTAAAGAATTGGTCTGGGAGGGGTTACTTAGAGTTACCCAGAAAAATCAGATTATTGGAGAAAGAAATTCAGGATTTGGAATTGAAAATGCAACAAGGTCTTCCTTCGGTGTCAATGAAATCAATAATTGAAGCAAAAAAAGAAACTATGGGAGCTACTAAAGAAAGAAGAATCGATATGGTTGCAAAAATCAAGACTGAAATGGAGAATGGATGGTGATAAGAACACTAGATTTTTTCATCATAGTGCTGCAGTTAGAGGAAGGAAAAATGGCATTAATTCCCTCAAGGTGGGTAATGAAGTAGTAGAAGATCCTATCCTAATTAGAGCTTTAGTGGTGGAGTTTTTTTAATGGTCTATTTAGTTAGAATAATTCTTTGGAGACTGAGGAATTAGATCTGGATTTTCTAAAACTATCGGTAGGACATAGTTTAGCACTGGAGAAGCCATTTTCAGAGGAGGAAGTTTGGGAAGCAATTGTCAACTCGGATAGCAATAAAGCTCCCGGGCCGGATGGTCTGAATTTAGGTTTTTTCAAGAAATTATGGTCTTCTTTGAAGGAGGATATTATGTTGTTTTTTAAGGAATTTTATATGGGGAAGGAATGAGACTTGGAGGTGAATCATTCATTTTTTCCCCTTATACCTAAGAAGGATAATCCGGAGGGGACGGAGGACTTTAGGCCTATTAGCCTTGTGGGAGGTTTATATAAAATCTTGTCAAAGGTCCTAGCTAGAAGACTCAGCTTGTGCATTAATGAGATAATTAGTCCATCTCAATTTGCGTTTATTCAAGGGAGGAATATTTTGGACTGTTCGTTTATAGCAAATGAAGGAATTGATTATTGGAGGAAGAGAGGGTTGGAGGGGGTAGTCTTTAAGGTGGATTTCAAGAGAGCTTATGATTCGGTAGATTGGTTGATTTTGTTGAAAATAATGAGGAAAATGGGGTTTGGTGAAAAATGGTGCTCTTGGATGTATCAATGTATGTCAACGGCTTCTATTTCAGTTTTACTAAATGGTACTCCTACAGACAGAATTCGCACAGAAAAAGGACTTGGACAGGGTTGCTCGTTATCCCCCTTGTTATTCAATTTGGGTGGTGAATTGCTTCATTTGTTGTTAACTAAAGCAGTGGATATGGGATTGTTTTCGGGCTTTGAGTTGGGGGTTCAAGAAAGTTCTTTCAAGCTATCGCATTTGCAGTTTGCGGATGACCTTATTATTCTTTCCAAAGCTTCAATCCGGGATTTGAAGAATATTAGAAGGGTTTTACTGATCTATGAGATATTGGTGGGACTGAAGATAATTTAGCAAGAGCAGAATTTATGGAATAAATGTTGAGAAGGAGGTGCTAGCTGGTTGGTCTAATGAAATTGGCTGCTCAGTGGGTAATTTTCCAACAGAGTATCTAGGATTGCCTTTGGGGTCCAAGAGAAACTCTGTTGCAATGTGGGAGTCAATAGTACAAAGGTTTCATAATAAGTTGACTGGTTGGAAGGTAAACTCTTTAGCGTTAGCAGGTAGGGTGGTGTTGGTTAAATCAGTGTTGTGCTCCCTTCCCACTTATTTCCTTTCTATTTTTAGAATTCCAAAAGTTTTGTTGCAGAAATTAAATTCAATCATGGCTGCATTTTTATGGGGGGTTCGACAGATAGAAGAAACATACATTGGGTGATCTGGAATTTGGTCAATAAACTGAGAAGGTTGAGGGGTTTAGGGATTCTGAATTTAGACATTCTGAACAGAGCACTGATGGGAAAGTGGGTTTGGAAGTTTGTCTCTGAAAAGGATTCTTGGTGGAAGAGGGTGGTTTGTTGTGTGAACAATTTGGATCTGAATTCTAAAATGTTGGGGAATACTTCGACAGCTCGACCCTCTTGGATTTGGAGATGTGTGATTAATAACTTCTTTTCTAGTGATGAGTTTAGAGATTGCATTAGGAGAAACTTGCGTTTGAAAGCTGGAAATGGGCATTCTGTGGAGTTTTGGCATGATATTTGGTTGGGAGAAGTCCCTCTTAAAGACCTGTTCCCTAGATTGTATGCACTATCGAATAATAAAATGGGTAAAGTGGTGGAGTTTAGGGTGAACAATACAGCAGGCTGGGTGTGGGACATTCAAATGAGAAGAAATCTAGTGGATTGGGAGATTGAACAATAGTTGCAGTTAATTTCTATATTGAATAACATCTCACTGTCTCTTGAGGAGGACGATTACTGGATTTGGTTAGGGAATGTGGAGGGCTGTTTTTCAACTAAGTCTTGTATTAATCATATTTTTGACACGGAGGGTAATCAGGGGATTCAGGCTAAGTGGGATAAACATATTTGGGTCGGGATAGCTCCTCCTCGTGTTGAAACTTTCATATGGCAAGTCGTTCATCAGAGGGTGGCAGTTAAAGAGGAATTGTTGAAGTGAGGAGTGGTTGGGATTGAAGACCCTTTATGTTCGTTGTGTGGCAGGTTTGTGGAATCTGTTTCTCATCTTTTTCTGCATTGTAAGGTAGTTTGGGTTTTGTGGGCTAGATTTGCAAATTTGTGTAATGTTTCTTTGGTGATCCCTAATAACATCTTAGACTTTATTATTATGTGGGATGAGCTACAACAGTATTCCTGTATTTGGAAATTTATCTTAAGGGCGGTGTTGTGGACTATATGGAAATGTAGGAATGAGGTTATCTTTATGAAAGGGAAGCTGGATGTGGTGAGGATGTTCTTTATTGCTCGATTTTGAACAACATATTGGTTTGCTGCTAGTTTTGACGTTGTGCGAATTCCTTTTGACTCCCTAGTGGGTGACTTAACTCTTGCTGATTCGATTGGTAGACATGAAAAAAGTGGATCCAAACCTACTTGTTGGGTTCCTCCTCCAGACGGGTTCGTAAAGATTAATGTTGATGGGGCGATAGAGAGTGGTTGGAATAAAGGTGGTATAGGTGGACTCATAAGGGATAGCAGAGGTGTGTTGATTCACTGGTTTTCTGATAAGGTTGGGGGAAGACCTCCGATTATGGCAGAATTATTGGCGATAAAGAGGGGGTTGTACATGTTGTCTGATTCAGGAATTGGTCTTAATATGAGGATTATTTTAGAATCGGATTCAAGTAATGCTTTGTAGTGGATCAAGAACCCGAAACTAAGCTCCCCTATGTTTCTATCCTTGGTGAAGGAGATTGTTTCTATTATGGAAGGGAAGGATATTATGTTAAGGCAAATCTTGAGAGCTACTAACTGGGAAGCGGACAAACTTGCTAAGGATGGTATAGGATGATTGTTAGGCTATGTTTTGGTGTGTTAGGGTGTTAGACTCCCTTATATCTCTGTAGGGATTTTGTTTTCTGTCTTATGTAATTAGTGTTAAAGTTTCTACAGGAAGAAGTTTTTAAGTCTTATGTAATTAGGATTAAGGCTTTTAAAGTTCGATGTAAGGGATGGCAGTGTATTATTCTCCTGCTTAATAAAAGTATTAGGCACTCTTTTCCCTCTTCGTTTGTCCTTCATATTACTATTGTAATATGGAGGGCAACTAGAGGGTTTTTAATGAGGCCTAATTTTTTATCAAAAAAATAAAATAAAATGTTACATTTTGCTAGCTACAGTTTGGAATGGTCATATCCAATTCATGATATCACATTCAGTCAATTACTTATCATGAAGTAACTAAATCATCAGAAAAGTAATGTCATCCTAAAATCAACAAAATGACATGAAAGGTAAATACTGTTCATAAAGCTGTAAGAAGCATAAAAAGTATATTTGAAGTTTGCTAGCTATGGAAATAAGTTCCTATAATAAAACGTTACATTTTGCTAGCTACAGTTTAGAATGGTCATATCCAATTCATGATATCAGATTCAGTCAATTACTTTTCAAGTACTGCTATTAAATCACCAGGACTGCTATTAAACTCCATCAAGTACTGCAAGGAATTAAATTGCCAAAGTATTAAAGCAATTTCGACAACAGATAGAAAATGAAACACACCAACTCAAAGTACCTTTACAAGCTCCATGGTTAGACTAGTAGTTTCACGCTGAGCATCTGCACTCTGACAAGAGAATACCAAATAATTGCATTCAGAAAATGCCACAAATCACTATAAATTTTAGCAAAATGATTCATCAAACGATGACAACCAACTAGGAGGATAAAAAACTAGTTAGCGTAGGCTAAAACAACAGATAATCTTACCTGCAAATGATCTCCTATTTTTGCAGCAGTCTGCCCAACACTTGAAATACGTGAATCCAGTCTGGAAAAGCTGTCGAACAATTCATCTACACCTTTTTCCAGCTGAAGAAAAATAAGTAAAACCAATCAGTTCAAGACCCAATGGTAACTTATAGCTTGTGAATCACCTAAGAACTTTTTTTTTTTGGATAGAAGTTGGAGGTCTCATTAAAAACTCCCTTCGTATTCGTTCACATACTACAGGTATTTAACGAACATTGGAAGGAAGAAAAGAGTACCTCAAATTTTATTGATAAAATACCCGATACAAAAGACACCACGGAATATCCTCTCATGGTGATGTACACCATTACAACAAACACCTTAACCTCATATAACCTCATCCAAGGCCACATTCTAATCACCTTACTTCTAATTACACCACCAACAGTAGGAATAAAACAACGCAACAGAACATAATGCAAATTAAAAGCAACAACTACAACCATATAGACTAAAACAACCACAATTGAAGAGACAAAATCTAATGAGACTCGTCTTCTTCAAGAGCCCAAGAGTTTGGTTTGAATGAAGGCTCTATCTCATGCACCATGACCTTGAAGAAGTTGTCACCAACCTTCAATTCCACCATCGCATCAATTCTCGCATCAGCCTTTGTAAGGACTTGAATTTTTGCCCGATCAAAGGACGATGGAGACTGACAACTTTCATCGATAGCTAGTAATAAACCCCACTTATCAGCAATGTTCTTGAAAGTATCCCAATTCCATGCGTGAAAAGGAACACCCTCACAAACTAAATGTAGATGCTCGTTTTTATCCAGGGCCGAGTCGGAGCAGACTCGAAGCAATCGTAACCTAACCCGACCTTGAACCAGTTGCAGGCCCAACTCAAGCCCAATGGACGACAGTTGATTGCAGAGGAAAAGAGAGAGGTTAACGTTGGCTTTTAGCAGTTTTTTTTATATACGGGGGGATTATCAACTATCAGGGGGAGAGCATTTGAGGGGGAGAGGAGAACATAGACAGGACGGAAAGGAGAAAGAACAATTTGTAAAAATTTATGGTTAACCATTTTTGAAGCAATAAAAAGGAAACAATTTTTTTTCTTTTCTGATTTCATGGTCCCATTCAAAGGAAAACATCAATCGTTCAAAAGGGCAATAACATTTTCTCAAACAAAAACAACCAAAAACAGAAAGCATTAACAAGGAGGTCTTTTTATCTTATTTTATTTACTTTCTAGTAACTATTCGTATGCGTGTGTGGTATTTGTATTAAAAAGAAAACAAGGGTTAGAAGCTTACCTATTTGAGTCACTGGGATTAACACTGAAGCATGGATAGTTGTTCGGGAAACCTTGCATGTGGGTTAATAGTTAGTTTCTAGGTCAGGATTTTAAAATTGAAGAGTGAGGTTAAAAGAAAAATTTGGTCTAACTTACCTTGATGTGTTTGGGTCTTCACCGGAGTAGGAACTTTGGTCTCATTAGGTCGCCGGAGAAGTAGAGAGTCACTGTTGAGGGTGGTCATCGGAGAGGTTTTCTTAACCGGTGAGAATCGGGGGCCATTAGGACTCTCGGCTAAGAAAGAAAATAAATATGGATGGGATTTGAGGAGGAAGAGAAATATGAGAGAGTTTAGGTTTTTACTTAGTCCTTTCGATAGCCATCATCGGACAATTGGAGCGGTGGCGTTGGGAGGTAGCTGTTGAAGTCCACGGCTGCGTGCAATGAGTGTTGAAAAACCAGAGGAAGAAAGAAGTGAGGAACGGCTATTAGTTTTGTTTGTAGTTAGGTTTATTTTAATGTTAGGTTTAGTTTAATATATATATTAGGAATTTTGGATTAATCATTTCTTGGTCACCGAATCCTAGAGGTAAATTAGGTTTTAGTCCATTTAGTTTATTTGTTTGTACTTCATACTATTCAAGTATTTGGTATGTTGTTTTTTTTATTTCAGTCCTATGCATGCTTATGGTTTATTAGCAATTTAGGATCCGAGTTACCCATCCTTCATGTTAAAGTAGCTTGTATTTGTTTAGTATGCTGGTTACTTCCCTTAAATTTGTTATTATTGTGTTTTAATCACTGTTTTTTTCCTGTTTAAGCATGTAAGTTAACCCCTTTGTATATATGAATATTTACGTATACATATATTCAACTTGTATCATATTACGTTGTATATTTTATTGCATTATGTATAAATATATAGGATACATGTAGTTTCATTATACCATGTTTCGATGCTATGCATATAGGCCATTTAAGTTATACTTATTATTTTGTAAACATGATTTATTATTTTATAAATATTAATTGGGCATGTATTGTATGTTATAATTAAGGGTGAAATCATATTATTTTACTAAAAACATATGCAAGTTGTGCGAATATTTTATTCTATGCGATGGTTGCCCTATTTCTGTGTATATTAATATTGTTAATTACATGATACCCGTTTTGTATAATATGTATGAAAACCTCATTTGCATAACTCGACATATTACATAATCGGACTAAGGGTAATACCCTTTTATTTTAAAATTGTCTTGAGTGGCTTGTCTTAACTAATTAGAGAGCCGTTTTGACTATTTTAAATTAAAAGTGTGTCCCGAAAGTGAAACAAAAAAAATTGATTCGTCACCTAAAATTTGGGAACGAAAGAAAAGGAAATGTTTGTTTATTTAAATTTATCGAGAAAAGGTTGTTATAACTTTTAAGATCTGGTCTCGATATTTGTAAATAATTGAACATTCTTTATATTTCTAAAACGACTCGGTAATTTTAATTTAATTTATTTGAGTGCTTTTGAATGTTTTTAAATTTACATCTTTGTTTTATGGGATCAAAAATCAAATTGAATTCGAATTTGTAAAGTTCATTGCAAAGACACTAATTAATCGACTAAGTACCGTTTTAGGGCGTTGTGGGGGTGCTATTCCTTCCATGCACGTAACCGACTCCCGAATTCGGATTTTGGTAACGCGGACCTTAATTTGTTGTTTTAATTAAAATTAATTTGTATTTAAAATAACAAACATTTTTGGGTGCCCAATCACACCCTAATCAAAGATTGGTGGCGACTCTTTGAACCGTTTTTTTTCGATCGTAAAGGAAATCCAAATTTTTTTGAAACGAAAGGTCTTTTAAATCTCATTTTGTTTTTAAATTAAAAAGAAGAATTAATGTGGTTTTTAAAATTTCACTTTTTCACCTTTAAGAAAAATCGTTTCGACAGCTTGGCGACTCTGCTGGGGAACTTTTTTTTCGAGAGTCAGGCCAATAGTCGATTAATTAATCGTCTTTGCAATTGAAAGTTATAAATTCGTTTTAATTTGGTTTTTGATCCCTTGTTTGGTTTTTAATAAGTTTTGTTTGTATTTTGGTTTTTTAATTTAATTCGATTAACAATTAAATAGTTGTACTAATCTGTTTTCTAATGGTTTCAGAATAATTGTGTGTTTTGGGATTTGATTTTGAGTGTTTTTATTGTTTGTTTTTCGCTTTTCCTCACACACTGCACAGCTGCATTTTCATGACATGAGCTAAAACCCCGCTCCGTCCAAATTAAGTAGGAGTGAGAGACTATGCCCTCGTGTGGTTTTCACCTCCGCATGTGATAGTGGATTGCTCCTGGAGCTCACGTCTTATGGTCCTCGTGATGGTAATCACCTCTGCATGGACATAAGGAGGTGTGTTCCCTCGAAATTGAACTCGATCCACTAAAGCCTGTGATGGGCCAGGATTGAGGGTTTGGTAGCCCAAGTGGGCACCGACAATGACAATTCGAGAACCTATTACTTTAGAACCGAACCCAGCATATAGTAAACATAGAGCCTGAATTTAGGTCGAGCCTAACCTAAACCTTAAGAGTCTCGTGAGCAGGGTACACAAAGAAAAGCTTTTTGAGTCATTTAATTTTTCTTTTTGAATAAATGTATGCGAACTAGAAATCATGCGGTTAGGTTTATTTTTCTTGAACAAGCATGCGAATTAGATATCATGCGGTTAGGATTTTTTGTGAATGAAGAAGTATGGGGTAGATATCATGTTGGGTAGGATCAACTAAAGTATGATTGGTTAGCCAGCATGTGAGGGTAGATTTTATTTGATGTTTATGGTACTTATTTTGTTGTTTATATTATGTGCACTAACCCATTTTTGTTCTATGTCTATTTTATTTGGATTTTATTGCATTTACATCTTCATGTCATCACAAGGTGTTAATTGACAAGTGATTAACTAATGAGAAGGCTAGACATATTGGGACAAGAAATTCTCAACCATGTAGTCAAAACCGGGAGATCCAAAGATGTTTGACTGATCATGAAGAATGATATCCGTTGAATGAAGAAACCAAGCTGATTGAAGACTTCCTTTAATGGGGAAAAGGCCAAGATGTTGACTCAAGAGATAGATACAATCATACTAAGGACAAGAAAAGCCTTCACAAAGACATGAAGACCACTTCGTATTGAAAGTAAACATGGAGACCTCACGATTCGATTTAAAGACATCTGGCATCATCAACGGTGATAAAATACACCGACAAATTTGGGTTCAATGTTAGATTCCATGAAGAATATGGCTCAAGGAAATGAATAAATGAAGAATCACATTTATATTTTGACTACATGGTGTTCTGAATTCTTGTTGTCTAAATGAAGATTGTTCTATAGTGGTCACTTTTAGGATTAACACCTTGTGCATTTACATTTGCATTCTTATTAGCTTCAATTTATTTATTTATTTATATTTTTTTGCTATTGTTGCTTTTTGTCCTTTTGTTATTTTATTTGTACTAACCCATTTTTTATGTTGTTTTTCTCTTTGTCTGCATTGCATGATCATGACATATTCAAAAGATGTTGATTTGTGAGTGGTCATCATAGTAAAAGGTTTTCATGATGGACAAGGGGTTTCGTGATCAAACAGACTATAACACAGTCAAGAAATGGCATCCTGAGAAAGCTTCGAAAATAGTGGAGAGTTGCGCACATAAAGATCATATGTCTGACGAAGAGCACAAGGAGATAAGAGAGATAAAAGAGAAGAGGTCCAAGATGATGGATAGAATAGATGCTTTATCCAAAGGAAAGGAG